CTTATGATTGAGCCGAAAGTTCCAAGACAAGGGGGGAATGAAAGGGCAAGGACTACGCCCTCCATCTTACCCTGGGTCCTCCATTTTTGGGCAGAGCCATGTGCTCGGCAAGGCTTCTTCCCGGAAGCCCAAGCCTCTGCTGGCCACACCCAGGATTTCTCTGGACTAACCAATGATAATCAAGGGAAGTGCACGCCATCAATATGACCACATCCTGTGTACCGACTTGCGCCTGGTCAATCGGCAGGACCCACAGTCACCTCTCCACCCCTTACTCCACCCCCCTATAAAACTCGTTCCATCGGGCTAGGCCTCTCTCTGCCACCTGCTGCTGTGTCAGTAAGGAGGGTGGGGGAGCCAGACCTAGGTTTGAAATAAAGGACTCTTTGCTTTTGCATCGGACTCGCTGGCTCCCTGGTGGGCTCTTGGGAATCTTGAAATCTGGGCATAACACCTCTCCCTCTCCCTTCCTCTCTGAAATCAATGAAAATATATTTTAAAAAAGAAAAAGAAGGAAAAATAAAAACACATTGGGAAACCACATTATTGGAACAGTTGACAAAATTGAAACATGAACTACCGATTAGATACTACTGTACTGGTTAGATAAAATTATATATTTATCAAATTAGAATTTGATAACTATACTATATTATTCTCTCATAACTATGAGAGAATATCTTTGTTCTCAGGAAATGTTCACTAAAATATTTAGAGAGTAAGGGACACGACTGTGTAAGTAACCCTCAAATAGTTCATAGTTCAGAGAGGGAAGAAGGGGGAGAGGCAGGGAAAGAATGAGAAAATGTGGCAAAATGTTCTTTATTCTACCCTTGAAACTGTTCTGTAATTTCAAACGAAAAGTTTTAGGGCTGGAGGGTCCGTGTTCAGCTTTAGGGCTGGAGGGCCGTGTTCAGCATGACGTAGAAGGACTAGCTACTCTGTCTTGAGAGTCCAAGCACCAGCGGATGAGGGTGTTCCCACAGCCCTGCCTCAGAGCCCCAGCCTCAGGAAATGTGTCCAATCCCCGCTTGCCTTCTGAGTCCTGGGAGAGCATTTGGAAGAGTGAGGATGTTACTGAGACTAGAGAGGACTGCAGTGGAGGCCAGGGCTGGCGAAGGGGGCTGGGGGATGACTGGAGAGCAGCAGTCACCACCCCCGTTGAACGGGCACTCAGGAGGAAGCCGCAGACTCAGTGTCAAGGGCCTTCCGTGGAGCCCCCATGGGGTCCTCACAGGCACCCTGCTGGGTCATCCGACTTCACCAACGAGGGTGCTGGCTCAGAGAAGGTGGTGAAGGAACTTGCCCAAGGCAAATGGCTAGTAAGTAGCAGAGTTGGGACTCAACCAGGTCTATCTTCTCCAGACCCAGGACTCTGAACCAGTAAAAGCTGGTGCCTTCAGACCCAAGGGTCTATCATGAGCTATTAAAAAGCAGGGACCTCATTCCACAAACATGCTGGGATACTTGCATCACTGGGTGCCATGCACTGAACTGTGTCCCCCTGAGCCCCCAAATTAATATGTTGAAGCCATAACACCTAATTTGACTATATTTGGGGATAGGGCCTTTAGGAGATATTTAAGGTCATAAAGGTAGGGCCCTAATCCAACAGGCTTAGAAGAGAAAGTGATCCCTCTCCCCAAGTGCAGGCAGCAGGGAAAAGCCATGTGAGGACACATGAGAAGGCGGCTCTCTGTAAGCCAGGAAGAGAGGCCTCACCAGAACCCAACCATGCTGGCACCCTGATCTTGGCCTCCAGATTGTGAGCAAATAAATTTGTTGTTGAAGCCACCACCTCTTGCTATGACAGCTCAAGCTAATATACTGGGCCACCTCCTAAAAATACCTCCCAAATAACACACTGAATGGTGTGTGTTGGGGAAGGGGGGCTTAGTGGAGAGGGAGCAAGAGAGAGGATCTTCTTGGCTTTTCATAACTGAGGGGCTGGGAGAGGGGGTTGGGGGTTGCACTTGAGTCATGGAACCAAGGGTCCAAGGTCTTAGACCTCCTGCTTGCCCCCACCTCCTTCCTGTCCAGCTTACAGTCCTGATGCTCCCTGGGAAAGTACAGCAAAGGGCTCACAACTCACATTAACACTAAAACTGGAGATCCCTTCATGTGACAGATGGGGAACTTGAGGTCCCAAGAGGTGAAGGGACTTGCTTCGTCTTTTCCTATCTGTACATGGGACGAAGGGAGTTCCCTGGGCTCCAGCACCAGCTGTAGCCTCCATACTATTGGACTCTGCCCCAAAGACACTCTACCTGAGCCAGGAGTGCTGCATCCTGCTCACAGGCCCCCTGAGGAACCCTTACCAATGACAAGAAGGACACATCACAGGATTAAACACACACAACCCCAGGAAGAGATGGGAAGGCCACGTCTTCTCTCCTGCCAACTGTGTGGGCCTTTTGCCCTCACTAACCTACACTGGTCTAGGGCCTCTGGAATTGCTCAGACAAAACAACTAAGAGCCCCAGGCAGGGTATGACTGGTAGATTAAACACTAACCACACTCTGGAGTTTTACTTATACCACAGCAAAATCCCACTTCGATGCCTCACAACTATTTAAAACAGGCTTGGAGTTGGCATTTCCCTAATTGCTCCTGAAACATCAAAAGTCTGTGAAATGTTCATAAATTTCATTTTTTAAAAATGCTACAGTAGTTTTTCTTCTAAGACTCACTTTATAAACATGTAAGAAAAGTTCTAGGTTATTGGCGGTGAGATTACATAATAGCAATCTGCCTTGAAGTGTGCTATTCTCAAGATTATAAAAAAAAATTTGGTCTTTTTAGTTCTTAAAAGAAAAAATGGTTTAACTTCTAATTTACTTCTTATTATATAAGGTTTAAATGCAAATAATCATACATCAAGTTTATTTGTGTAGCAATTAATGAATCTGTGAAGCCACGAGTTGCTGTTAACTTTAGCCCACAGAGTCTGTCAGCATTTCGCCATCATTTTAAGAACGCTCCGTGTGAGATCTGGAATGCTGCTGGAGGCAAAGGGCTGCTGCGGAGAGAGCTGCTTCCTTTCGCCTTCTCTGGGCTGCGTCCCATTCCTCCCCAACAGGACCAAAGGCTAGGCCGTCCCAGCAGTCCTTCTATGGGTTCCGTCCACCTGCCCTCTTCCTGTCTGGCTCTCCTGCCTTCTTGCTTACGTAATTCTCTAGCAAACTCTTCAAAGAGCTGGGTAAGTTTCTGCTCAGCTATGGCCAGATCACCAAAATGGGAATTTTATCAAGGTTTTAATGAGATGTTTCTGTTATACAAGTATGCACTGCTGAGCAACCTTCCTCTGAATCTGGTGGTCTTTACTAAAAGTAGACTGACGTGGAGACAAAGGTACCACAGTCCGTTTACCAAACACTCTTTAGGCGCCACTTACTCTAGCATGTTGGGAAGACACAGAGGAGACAACAGGAAGACACCTGCTCACTGAGAGCTCGCAGGCTGGCAGGGACAGTAAAACAAAGATGAAGTGTGGTGGGTACAAGGCAGGAAAACAAGGACTAGCCAGGCCTCAGCGGAGGGAGATGCTCCTGCAGTGGGGGTTGTGCACACCCAGCACCTGTCCGTGGGGGGCCTGTCAGGTGCCAGGCATGGTGCCAGGACTGGGGAAACCCCAGGAACAAGCCAGACATGTCCCTGCTCTCACGGAGCTTACAGTCTAGCAAAAAGACAAACTAGGAACCGGGAACTACAATCCAGTGTAAAGGGGGCAGGCTTGGGAGAAGAGAGAGCTTTGGTTATCATACACTTCACTTAGGAAAACACTGTGGCATTTGTCTGGGGAAAAAGAGACAAGGAAAAAGGGAAATAACTTTAAATCGTTTGGCCCATTCCGCCTGCCCTCCCTTCACCCAGCAGAGGGCAGGAGGGCTGGTGGCGAGCTCAAGCTCTGCTGCTCCTGTGGCCTCTCAGCCACCAAGCGCCTCTTCTCACCTGAGTGGGACTATGGCCCGTCAGCGCAGACCTGACACTTCCCCTGGTGCTCAACCACAGACACTGTGACCTGTGCCACACGGGCAGGAGCAATGCACTCATCATGGGCCTCCTGATGCTGGTCCTCAGGGTTTCCAGGAGGAACTGTGGTTACACTCAGTGTTTACCTGGGTATGATATTCTACTCTAACCTGGGAGTAAGCCAAGACTTCCATGTGGCAGTCCCGTGGGGCACAAAGCAGGGACCCAGACTCTGGCTCTGGGAGCTGGGATAGCCCCGTGGAGGGGTCGCTAAGTCCTTGAGAAGGCCAGGCAGGAGGGGACAGGGCCAGGGGGTGCCAGTGCGGGAGGATAGCACTGAGCAGAGCCTGGGAGGCTGGGAAGATAACGATGAGCCCAGGGAAGTAGTGAGCAGAGGGCAGGGGAGGGCAGGCCAACAGGCCAGAAACAGTGCCAGAGAATAGGTCTCGACCAGCCGTGTGAGTATCAGAGGAGTTTGGGATTTATTCCAAGGGCAATGGCGACGCTTTGGAAAAGGTCTTAAGCAGAGAAATAACAGAAAGTTCATCCCGAAGCACATGAAAAGATAGCCGACATCTGTAGTCATCAGGGAAATGCAAATCAAAACCACAAGATACCAATTTATATCAGAAAATAAGTTGCTGTCAAAGATGTAGAAAAACTGGAACCCTTGTATATTGCTGGGGGGAATGAAAAACGATGCAACCACTTGGGAAAACAGCCTAGCAGTTCTCCAAAAGGTTAAAGACAGAGAGTTGCAATATGACCCAGCAATCCCACTTCTAGGTATATAACCCAAGAGTAATGAAAACATATGTCCACATAAAACTTGTACATAAATGTTCATAGGAGCACTATTCAGAATAGTCTCAAAGCAGAAACAACCCAAATGTCCATTAACAGGTGAATAGATAAAAGTGTGGTATAGCCATAAAATGGAATATTATTCAGCAACAGAAGGAAATAAAGTACTGATACATGCTACAACATGGATGAAACTTGAAAATATGTTTAATGAAAGAAGCCAGTCACGAATCATACAAAGTGTATGATTCCATTTATAGGAAATGTGCAGAATAGGCAAATCCATAGCAACAGAAACAGTGGTTGCTGGGGGGAGGGGGACAGGGAATGAGGAGTGACTGCTAATGTACAAGGTTTCTTTTTAGTGACGCAATGTTCTAAAATTGATTATGACAACGGCTGCACTTCTCTGTGACTATACAGAAAGCCACTGACATGCACAATACATAAATTATATGTCAATAAACTGCTAACAACAAGAGTTCATCCTGGGTATGGTGCAGAAGAGAGAGGGAGAGATGGGGCAGAGACCAGTGAGGAGCTGCTATGGAGATGGAGCGGGAGACAGTGGTTGAACTTTGGGGAGGGATTCAAGGAATGAACTAGACGAGGCCAGATGAGGAGAGTGTACATCTGTGGAGCCTCTGCAAGTTCCCCTGGGTAGCTGGTACCTCTCCCTAGAGGTAGAGTGGGAAACAGAAATGAGGTATCTAATCATTATCAAGCAGCAAAAATGTATTTAAAATCTGGTACGTATAAAGACGAAGAGAAATCTGAAAAGTGCGTAGTCCTGCGGCCCACGTCCATGAAGTGCTCTGTGTAAAAGCCCACTGAGCTCCAGCCAGGGGACTGTCCTGGCTGCCCATTTTCACTCCCACACTCCAAAGGAAGGGCCTGGGCACTCGGGGCACGCCTAAGATATTGCACAATCGGAGTATCTGAGTACAGGCTGGAGAGCAAGAGAGGTTGAGACCACTAACTTTCAGAAACACACTGAAAATCTTTGAAGATCCTTTTCTGGGTTCTGTGTGTTTGTGAGAATTGCCAAGCTGCTAAAGTGGGCACTTTCCTTGGCTAAGTCAAAGACCCGGTTTTGACTACAAACCACCACTCACCTGAAAGTCTTCCCTGGTCTCTACCGGAGACTGGGAGGACCAAAAGGCCCTGGGACAGATGGGCCTGCACCGCTGCGGGGAAACCCAAAGGAAATCCTAGGAGGGGGCACTTTCTGAAACTACAGAGACCGTGTCAGTTGGGACCCTGGCCACAAAGACTCTGTCCCACCCAGAGACTGGAATGGATGGGGGTAGTCCCTGTCCACAACCTCATGCACAACCTCAGTTGACTCCTTGACCCTTCCCCCGCCTGCAACAGAAACCAGTGCTGGCCAGCTTACTGCAGCCATACTGGGGCAAAAAGTCAAACACCACTGAGACACACCAACAAAGCCAGAAGCTCTGGTTCCAGCCCATTCATTTGCTAAATGGGGAAACCAAGGCCCAGGTCATGGAACACAGCCAGGGGTTCTCACTCCATCAACTCCCAAGCCCTCAAGAACGTGGCTCAGGGTGCTTCAAAGAGCAAGAGAGCTGAGGAGCCTTAGAAACCTTAGGTCTCAACCGGCAGAGAAGCCTAAACTATCTCTTTCCTAGAATCCTATTAGGAAGGTGAAACGTATCATGGGCCTGTTCTAATCTTTCTAAAGGGAGAGAAAAAAGCAGGTCAAGCAACAAAATACAGACAGTGCAGGCTTTGCTGCAGTCCTTTACTTGATTAACAACAGTGTCTGCACTCGATCAGCTCTCCAGGGAACACTAATGAACTCAGCCACAAGACAGGGAGGAGCTCTAGAATGCAGGGCTGCACCGGGGACTGGGACGCTCCCGGAAGGTGGAGAGTTGTGACATCACAAAAGGGACAAGGCTTCACTATCCCTAACTCCCAGGTGCTGGTGAACTGAAGTGAAACACCCTTTTTAAGCTGCAGAGGAATGCAAACATTAAATAATTCAAAATAAAAATCAGACATGAAAACAAACTAATCTACTGCCCTTTAGTTAAAATAATCGAACTAAAATTAGAAATAAATGAACAAAATTTCTATAACTATGTCATTTGCCAGTTTGGAAGATGTCTCCAGGTGTCAGAAAAAAGGTCAATGCGTTACTTCTAAAGGGATAATGAACAACAGAACCCCATCTCAGATGGGTGGATGTTTTCCTACAGTGGCCAAAGGCAAGCTGAACTCTATGTACAACAGACAATACAAGTAGGATCATTTAAAAATAATGAGACTCCTCTCTTTGCCTTCTTCCAAAGTATATAATATATATTTAACAGCACATTAGACACCACTTGAGCTTCCCTGGTAGCCAACAGGAAGTATTTTCACATATAAAAATTAAAAATTTAAACCTTAAATCATTAATATTTTTTAAACATAATACAGACTTAGAAATTGTTCAACAGTACCCCATGACCCCACCCCTAGCACAAAAAAATCCATCCCAAATCCAGAAGTCACAGTTTTTTGTTCCTAAAAATCCCCCAGTACTGAACTTGATCTTCACGGCAAGCCGAGTGCTAACAAGAGGTCCCTAACAGGTATCTCCAGGAGGAACGGAAGCACGACCGACGCTGTGTCTGTGATCTACCTGGGCAGCACTGGTGCACCTCTGAGGTCAGGTCCATGAGATTCGGCCCCCACACTAGGGTCCTGGAAGAGTGAGCTGGCAGCTTCCCTCATCTTCCCCCTCGAAGGCTGTCCAATAAGCACCTGGGAATTGACTTTTCTTGGGAAAAGGGTGCTGGTAACAGCTGTCAGGGCCAAGGCAATAGTGAGAAGTTCAGTTCTCTGCTCTTTGGATGAACTGTGTAAAACATTTTTTTTTTAAGAGACACAATGTTAAAAATATTAAGAAAAACATCTACAAAATCTGGAGGGCTGCCTTTTTCTCAAAGGGTAAAGCTTGTGGAGTGGTAGGAAAAAAATCGAGGGCCCAGAACTATAACTGCAGCAAAAGATCGACAGGTGCCCTTCAAACACGTCACATTCTTAAGAGCTCTTGCTAAAGCAGCAAGAGCTGAGGGTGACTCTGTGAGTAAAGCGGGAGGGGCACCAACTCCTGCAGGGGAGGTTCCTACTGTGCACCCACCCTGCGCAAGAATGTCAGGCTTTAGGGCAGCTGCCATCGGCCCCAAGGGCATTCAGGACTCTGCCTCTGAACCAGAGCTGCTTTCCCGACTAACTTCAATCTGGAGAGATGGTAAGTTATCTAACCGGCTCTTCTTTTGGCGAGACTGTTCTTTCTCCTTAATCAGAGCCCCCCATGCCCTTTGCAGCTCGGAGTCATCTTCCTCAGTGCCAGGGGCCCTACGATCCACTTTCTTCGTGTTCTTTTCTTTGGTCTTGGATGCAGATCCTAAGCGAGTCCATAAACTACCTGTTTGAACGAGAAGGCATTTTAGTTTTGGTAGTCAATGCTGAGGAAGCAGGGGTACTGCCAACACCTGATGAGCAGGGAACAGTGGTGGTGGGGGTGAGGGAGGAGGGTCTGTGGCACCTGCAACCACTGTGCAGCCTTGCACAGGTAATCTCATCTCCCTGGCTGCATCCCCTGCCTGCAAACTGAGGGATCTGGACCCAAGGGGAGATTCTCACAGACAGGGAACATGGCCTCCATGCTAAGCATTTTAGAATTACCGGGGAGTCTGTGCTACACCTGCCCCCTCCCTGGTGAAACGCACCACCCTGTGCACAGCTGCATTCTGCCAGGAGTGGGCCATCCCCAGATCATCCCAGCTATAACGCTCTACAAACTGATGAGCCTGCAACACTGCAAATTAATTTTAGAGATTCTGCCCACCCTCCATTATATTTTAAAAATATACTTTATCAATATCTAATAATAGAGAAATATGTGTTTAGAATTTCATAGTATAGCCACACTATAAGGCAATTAAGTTTTATTTATAAAGAATTTAACCCGCCCTAGCTGGTTTGGCTCAGCGGATAGTGCGTCGGCCTGCGGACTGAAGGGTCCCAGGTTCAATTTCGGTCAAGGGCATGTACCTGGGTTGCAGGCACATCCCCAGTAGGAAGCGTGCAAGAGGCAGCTGAATCGATGTTTCTAATTCTCTATCCCTCTCCCTCTCCCTTCCTCTCTGTAAAAAATCAATAAAATATATTAAAAAAAAAAAGAATTTAACCATGTAGAAAAGTGACTATGGTAAAACACTATATGAAAAGGTAGGATATGTATATGGACAAAGACTGGAATGGCATACATGAAACTAAAATATTTGTGCTAAACTGAAAGAACCAGGGATGGGTCTTTATCTATTTACTAAAATTTCCATATTACTACCATTATTATTGTTGTTGTCGTTATTACAACTATTATGAAAGAGAAAAAATATTTTTGGCACCTGCTATTTACTGCCTCTACTAACAAAGTATTTCGATGCTTTACCCATTGTCCTTGCTCTTCTTACCCAATTGCCATCCCCATCAGTTTTAAGTGTTACCAACCTGATTTCTTCTCCCGAGTATCAGAATAGAGGCCTTTAGTGTCTTGCCTGGGAACACCTAGCCTACTATGAACATCAGAAAAGGGCTCTCTCCGAACGACAGGGTTACAAGCCTTTTCTGGAGAATGTGGTCTTTTTCCTAACCGCTGGCGTATATCTAGGAAAGAAAAGTACTACTGTTACCAAGTGTGTGTGCTTTGCTATCTGTACTGTCAACCTGGGATCCTTACAGGACCTGGTCCAGATCTCCCCGAGTGAGGACAAAGGGCCAACACACTCAAACTTCTCAACATCTTCTCTCCATGCCAGTGATTTTCAACCTTTTGCATCTCATGGCACACATAAACTAATTACTAAAGTTCTGTGGCAGGCCAAAAAAAGGTATAATTTTGATTCATCCACATGGGACAACATGTTGGCTGTTGTCATTCTTTTATTTGACAATCTAAGAGAAAAGAGGTCAGTGCCCTGACTAAATCATCAGGACCAGTTGAAAATCGATACTGTATGTAATCTAGATTTCCTTAGGAAAAATCAGATGTAAGGGTTCTCAGCTGACTGCTCCAGAAAGGAATTTCTGTGGCAAAATCAACTGTCTTTTTTTTTCTTTTTAAGTAGAACCAAGCAGACCAAATGATTTACAAACATTTTAGTTAACAAGCAATATTGCAAAAGCCGAGGGCAGAAGCCACAATCTTTGAACATATAAGTTCTCAATAAACTTATTACACTTAACAATAAATGTAATGAGAATGGTGAAAAGCAAAGGATTAAGGGAAGATGTCCCAAATCAAATTTGTTCTTCCTCTATACCCCCTCCCACCCCCAAAATCTGACTTTCCTCCTGAGTTCCTTCTAACAGTAACACCATAACAGCAACAACAAAACCACCTTTATTAGCAATGGGCTCTTCCGCACCTTGCTTATTCTCGGAGAACAGCACCCCATCATCCCCGTCCCACTGACCTGGGTCCCTTGGCTTCTCTCCTTTCCTCCCTCGCATCCCAGTGCCGAGTCTTCTTCCTTCACGTGTGACATTCTCGTCCACTGTCTCTGTGGTCTCTGACCTAGTTCAGGCCTTTGTTATTTACTTAACTCTATACCCGACCTCACTCTGCTCCTAAGTTATCTTTCTAAAATAGATATAAAATCAGGTTACTTCCTCAAAAAACTGTATTTGCCAACTGAGATCCTATTCTCTCCCCACATTCTCTAAGGAGCCTTCCACAATTCTGCCAGGAGATCCAGCTCCCTCTCTGCTCCCACAGTCCACTGCTCACAGGACTATCAGAGCACTTCCTCCACTCTGCTTTCGGGGGAATGTGCACTCGTGTTTCCCCATCAAAGTTCTAGGATGATTCTGCATCCCCTCTGAAGACTTCGAACACTCCCAGCACCTAGCCCAGGGCCTGGCACACAGTAGGCATGGCCGAGCATCCGCTACACGCCTGTCTAGTCCAAATCCTTAACCATTTCTACAACAATTTCTATTACCCTGACATATAAAAAATACCAATGATTGCCCAGCCACCATGGTTCAGTGGTTGAGTGTCAACCTATAAACCAGGAGATCATGGTTCGATTTCCAGTCAGGGCATATGCCCAGGTTGTGGGCTTGATACCCAGTATGAGGCTTGCAGGAGGCAGACGATCAGATTCTCTCTCAACATTGATGTTTCTGTCTCTCTCCCCCTCTCCCTTCCTCTCTGAAGTCAATAAAAATATATTTTAAAAAACACCAATGACATACATAGTAAAATAATCATAAGGTTCAAAAATACTGAAAGCTAGTATTAAAAAGTCGGATTTTTCATGTCCTAAAAACCAATGCCTAACCCAAAATTTAGAAGTAATGAACCAGAACAACTAAATCCGTCCACAAATGACACCATTTAATCTAAAAACCTATCCCTGCCCGTCTGCCTTCCGGAGCTCAGAACGAAGCCCAGAACCAGAGCTGACCACCAGTACCTGAAGCAGTGCTGCTGCCTGACGGCCGTGGGCGTGTGTGCTGACGTTTCTCATCTAATAAATGTCGGACGTCTGCAAATTTCTCAGGTGGCAATTTGTTACCGATTCGGTTTTTGATATTGCTTGTTGATATAGTATCTGACCTCATGGAGTTCCTTGGGAAAAAAAAAAAAAAAAGACACAGCTAACCACTTCAACTATGGGAAAAAGCCCACCCAACAATCTCACATACTTCTCTGGAAACAATTAAAACCCAATCTAATCTAACATTCACTTACAAAGGCTACACACTGATAATTATTTATTTTCAAAAATCATGATCAGCCTGATGTAAAGAGACCAGCCAGGTGAGCAGGTTCCGAGGTTCCCACACCTGATATCTGTAAGCCATCACGAGCATGTAACTATGAGTCTCCTTCTGGGATGAACACTGAGAGGCCTCTGCTCCCCCAGGCTGTAGACAAGATACAACAGTCTGCAATCCCTTTCTTTAGGGCTGACTTCTCCGTCAAAGACATCTACTACCATGCTAGGAACCAGCACGATTTTGGAAGCATTTGTCTTTACAAAGTTCTGTGAAAACTAAAAATAAGGATGTGAACTAAGCCATACAAACCAGCTTGAATGGTACCTTCCTTTCCCCAAATACACTACCAAGAACAGTTAGGGAGAGCACCCCTAGATTCCAACCCTCTGAGTTGTGCATATGCTGTCTGCCCTCAGGAATATGCTCATCCTCATCCCCACTAGTCATCAAAGAAAAGCACATTCAAATAACTGTCTTTGTCCTGGTTGGTTGCTCAGTGGTTAGAGTGTCAGCCTGTGGACCAAAGGATCCCGGGTTCAATTCCCGGTCAAGGGCACGTACCTTGGTTGCAAGTTCATCAACCCAGGCAGGGGCTCATAAAGGAGCAACCAATCGATGTGTGTCTCTCATGTTGATGTTTCTCTCCCTCTCCCTCTCCCTCCTCTCTTCTACTCTCTCCCTTCCACTCTCTAGCAATCTATGGAAAAAAATATCCTTGGTGAGGATTAAAAGAAAACAACTATTTTTTTGGTCCATAAAATTAGCAAAATTTAGAAAGTTATAATATCTAACATTGATGAGTATGTAGGTAACAGGTGAAAATGTGAGTGAATAAAACCTTTCTGGAATGAAATTTCGCATACCACATATATTTTTTGTGCAATAATTGTAATTTAAGGAATTTATTTATTAATGAGATAGTAAGAAAATAGAAACCTAAGTGTCCATCAATAAGAGATTGGGTTAAATAAACCATGATACTTTCAAACAATGGATTACATACAGCTGAAAAAACAGTGGATCTCTATAACATATTAAATGGAAAAAGCATACTGCAAAACAATATAGCGTAACTTCACTTTTGTACAACTATGTCTATAATTTCTCCATGTGTTATGTGTATGCATGAAACTAGCGGGAAGGTTATTCACCCAGCTGCTAACAGTCCTTCTCTCAGGAGAGGATGACTATACAGGTGATTTTTACCTTTTATACTGTCTATAACAAGGATCTCTTCTTCTTTTTTTTTTTTTTTTTTAATAATACATTTTATTGATTTTTTTACAGAGAGGAAGGGAGAGGAATAGAGAGTCAGAAACATCGATGAGAGAGAAACATCGATCAGCTGCCTCCTGCACACTCCCTACTGGGTATGTGACCGCAACCAAGGTACATGCCCTTGGCCAGAATCGAACCCGGGACCCTTGAGTCGCAGGCCGACGCTCTATCCACTGAGCCAAACTGGCCAGGGCACAAGGATCTCTTCTTGTATATTTTGAGGAAAAATCAAACACTTTTATTCAAACTCTACAAAGGACTAAAATTAGAACAGATAAAGTGATTATAAAACTAAGAGGAATTAAAATGAAGTTAATTAGTATTTAAAACCAAATTAAAAGCTAGCACTGACAGAAAGGAGAAATAATCTTACCTAATATTTTTCAACTGAGATTCCACTTCATCAGCATACATAGTCATTTTCATGCTTTTCTTTGGTGAAGGAGTGGAAATCATTTTCAGTTCTAGATCATAGTCCATTTCATCGGAGTCTGAGCTGCTGGCACTGGACCTCCTGGATGAGCTCCGCTCCCGGGTCTGCTTGAGAGCTGGGAGCTCCTCATGGTACTCTACTACCACCCTGTCGTCAGCATCCATGTCCTGGTCCTCCTCCTCCTCCTCCTCCTCCTCTTCTTCAATGGGTTCCTCAGGAACATTCACTAGTCCTAAGGAATTTAACAAAAAACATTAGGAAAAGCAATGACAAGTCTAAATTTCTATTTACTTCACTAACTTCTTTAAAGAAAGGGTTCCCATGCCCAAGACTTTATTGCCGCATTATCTGTAACAGAGCCAATCTGGTGCCATTCTGGTACCTACAACAGAAGAACGGCTAGGTCAAGTATGATCTAGCAGCCCATGGATTATGAAATTATCTCAAATACAGTCAACTGCCATTATTCACAGATTCTGCATTTTTGATTTTGCCTAATTTATTTCTGGCTCCAAAATCAACGCTCACAGTGCTTTCATGGCCATTAGCGGACACGTGCAGAGTGGCAAAATAAGAGTCGCTACACAGGCACCTTCCCAGCAGAGGTCAAACGAGGCAGTGCTTTCTTCTTGCTCACCTCACACTGTAAATGAGTGTCCTTTCTGCAGTCTAGTGAGTGCCATGTCTTTCAGTTATGTGGTGTTTGTTGGTGATTTCACTATGTAGTAATGCCAAAACTGTCCAGTTTTCCTAAATGTAGGAAACTGTCCAGTGTTCCTAAATGTAAGGAGGCTGTAATGTGCCTTAAGAGGAAAATATGTGTATTATATCAGCTTTGTTCAGGCAGGAGTTATAGTGCTGTTGACTGTGAATTCATGCTGATGATTGTATTAAATGTATGTATTAAAATAAAGTGTCTTTAAACAGAAAGACAAGGTTATATATATTGATCAGCTGACATAATGGTATGACCAGATTCTCAAAGGTTCAGTATTAGCCCTGACTGGTTTGGCTCAGAGGATAGAGCATCGGCCTGCAAACTGAAAGGTTCAGTATTTGCTCCTTCAAGGGTCACAGTGACTTTATAAACCATAATCACCAGAAGTAATGTAACTTTAAAGTTCATGAAAAAGCACATATAAGTAGTGGAAGAAGCTGAATATAGAATATATATATGTTCACAAAAATTATAATATTATGAAACGAAATAGGAAAAATGTAAAATGAAAGTCAGTATATTATAGTGCTAGAATTAAGGGCAATTCTCTTTTTAATGTCTTTAATATAAAGATTACATGATCAAAATATCTTAAATATCTTAACGTAACTGAAATTGGAAAAATGTAACTGCATAAAGTGCAAATTTTACATATAATTTTCTATATATACATTAAATAAAAATGTACAGATGTCACCTCTCCCTGTCCTTGTTACAATGATAAATGTGTATGCATGTTATTCCATGTTTGTATGTTGACTTAGTTCTAGTTCTACCAAGCATGTGGAAGATCCCACAACTTATGTTCAAAATAAAAAACAAATCTTTATAAAACATAATGAAAATGATTCTTTTACAATAAGCAAAGAAAGAAAAAAAGAAAGATGAGAAGAGAAGAAAGAAAAAAAATACCAAGTCATGATATCCTATTTTTCTGGAGACATTCATGTGCACAAGCCAATATGCATAAAACACTAGATATAGCAGCTTCTTTTCATTTTCAGATAAAAGAACAATAAAATCAGCTCATCTGATAACATTTTTTTAAAAAATTTTTCATGCAGTTTTTGACATAAACAGAAAAAATTAGATTCTTAAGAATAGTTTTATTTTCATTTTCCCTATGTCACATTTGGGCTTTTTTATTAGAACAGCTTTTATAAAACCATTTGACCTCTTTGTACGGGCAATTTAAAATTAACTCTGACTTGACTTACTTTCCTATATGTTGGCAGAGGGTGAGGGCAAGGAAGAGAGGATGATAAAGTTTGGAACCTTAAAAGACTGTATTAAGAATAAAAATATGATTTCGGGAGCCAAACATGTGTCTACCCAAGAGCTGAGCAGGCAACTACCGGAATGTCGATGTTTATAGGACGTCAAGCCAACATCATCCCCAATCATGGCTCTCTTCTTGATCACATCCCGCTGAATGCGACGGGAATGATATCTTCGCTTCCTGCAACATTGCCAAAATAAGCACATAATCAAAGACCAACAGGAAGGACCATGAAACCCACTGGTTAATTTCAACTACACAGTGACAAAGTGTCAGGTGCACCTGAAATGAAACTGAAACTCAGTATAGTGGGGCCTTGACTTACGAGTTTAATTCGTTCCGTGACGGAGCTCGTAACTCAAATTACTCGTATGTCAAATCATTAAAGTGAACGAGTGAGACACGTGATGCTGGGCTGATGTTGTGGCGTTCAGTGTGACATTCGCTGTGCCAACTAGCGGTGGGGTATCTGAAGCTGGCTTGTAACTTGAATTTTAGCTCGCAACTCAAAGCAAAAAATCGGCCGAGAGACGGCTCGTATCTCGAAAAACTCTTTAGTCGGGACACTCATAAGTCAAGGCCCCACTGTATTCTCACACCTTGTACCACTGTTAAGAATCTTGCACTCTTCCCTCTTGTCTTCCTTCGAGCCCACACATGTTGACATTCCACTGCAGAACACCAACTACAGGATTCAGAAAGATTAACCATTGTGTTTTATACTTTTGGACTCACCAAGAATTACTAAGAATTCCTTTCATGCCTCCGTAATTTGGATTCCCATATTTCATGTAATACTGACTTCTTCTGGCTGCTCCAAGTTCTTTTTTGTCATCTAAAAATTAATTACAACAGTTACCTAGGATTTCCTGTGGGTGTGAAAACAATGTGTAATAGTTAAAAATAAATAAATAAGAAAGACCGTTTTGCATAGCTGGGGTCAGGTCAGCATAGTCAGCCAACAGAAGGGAAAGATGCACTGCAAACATTCCCTCTCTGTGTGCCCACTAAGGCATTGTGTGTGTGTGGTGGTGGGGGGGCGGGGGGGGGGGTTAGCATGAGGGAGAAGCAAAGCAGAGATGAATGAGGTGAAGCAGCTGTCAAGGAGGAAATACTTCATAGAGGAAATACCCCGATAAAACCCCAACAATACAAGACATAAGGTTCTAAGAAGCATGACAGCCCTAACCGGTTTGGCTCAGTGGATAGAGCATCGGCCTGCGGACTGAAGGGTCCCAGGTTCGATTCCGGTCAAGGGCACGTACCTTGGTTGTGGGCACATCCCCTGTAGGGGGTGTGCAGGAGGCAGCTGATGGATGTTTCTCTCTCATTGATGTTTCTAACTCTCTATCCCTCTCCCTTCCTCTCTGTAAAAAATCAATAAAATATATTAAAAAAAAAAAAAAAAAGAAGAAGCATGACAGAGCTTCAACCGTTATAAGTGCTCAGGCTCAAATGGGCTTTTGAGGTGGCATTTTCACTGCCCCCTGAAAGGTAATATTCATTCCTTTTTAAAATATATATATATATATATATATATTATTGATTTCAGAGAGGAAAAGAGAGGGACCGAGACAGAAACATCAATGATGAGAGAGAATCATTGACTGGCTGCCTCCTGCATGCCCCACACTGGGGATCAAGCCTGCAACCTGGGCATATGACCAGAATCGAACCCGGGACCCGTCAGTCTGCAGGCCAACACTCTATTCACTGAGCCAAATCAGCTAGGACTAATATTCATTTCTGAATGATAATACACCAATAACACAGAATCGGGATTAAAGAAGCAGACTATACATAATTCCACATATTTGATAAACTATTTTTTCCAGTTTATCGTGATTTCCTCAAAATGGCTTAAAGTACCATACATATATCTAGAATGTTCTCAACCACTCAAATCAGTAAATGCAGAGAAGATCCCTTTTTCAGGTTAAAAGGTCCATTAATAGGAAAGAAAGGTGGTCAGTGCTCACACGTACATATAAAGGACTCGGACAGCTCTTTGGGCACGCACTGACTGCCAAGGACCAGCCCCATGTGAATGCATCAGTGCTGGGTAAACTCAGTCACACAGATTAGTATGCGCCCCTACAAAACACAGGCCCGAGGAGAAACAGCTGGTTCCAGATCAGAGGCAGGGAAAGTACAAGTTGGGTCTGGAAAAACAAGATGTTTTAGTGTGCCATAAAGAAAGTGGTCCAAGAATCATGGGGACATGTCAAAAGCACACAGCTGGAAGCGGCTCTACTGGCCAAATCCAAGACAATTCGTGAATCAAGATAATGATAACAATGGATGATAGCCCAATGAATAAAATAAAACTCCATGAGTCTAAACTGATATAAGTAAGTAAATAAATGGGTAAAAGGGAAAGCTCCTCCTTATAGCAGACTGCCAACTAATAAAGAAACGATGGAGTTAGTAAGTCAATGGGTGTGAAAGCTACTGCATGAAAGCTTGATGAGCAATAGGCTACTTACATAATCTCAAAGTATCTTTCCACAAATTTAAAATCACAAATGGAAAAATAGAAACTTGACAGTTTAGAGAAACCTGGTGATCATTACCTTAACCAAGTGATAAAAGGTACCATCCCTGGGTATGGGACAAGCTATCATGTGCCTCCTATATGAGGCACTGAAAACAACACAATATCACTTCTGTGGTATTCTTGCCTAAAAGGCACCACCTTAATCAGAAAGAGGCACGAGACAAGACCCAACCAAAGGGCTGTCTATAAAATAATGAGCCTATCTCTTTAAGAAATGGTTCAGTCAAGGAAAACAAAGCAGAGGAGCAGGTCCAGATCCAGGGAGACTGAGGAGACATGGAGTACTTCAACACGGTCTGGAGTGGACCCCGGGGGGGGGGGGGGGGGTAGTAAAAGGAAAGTCCAAATTTATTTGACAATGATCATCGTCGTCATCATCAAAAACTGCTACACACAGCACTCACTGTGTGTCAGGAAGTTTAATATACAGAATGGGGAATTCTTGGAACAACTAATGAAATCTGAATGTGGATTATGGATTATTGTGTATTAATGCTAAATTTCTCGATTTTGATAAGTGTGCTCTGTGTAAGACAAAGTCCTCATTCTTCAGGAATACATATTGAAGTATTCAAACGTGAAGGGTCATTTCTAATTAACTGTCAAACAATGAAAAAGAAACCGTGTGGGGGTTTAATGTGCACCGAAAATCATTTGTGTATAAAAAGCCTTACAAATTATTACAGACTTGACCTAATTCCTTAGAGAATCAGACCTGAAGGGCACCATGAACAATGTCCAACAGGCTATTACTGTGATAAATAAAAATATACAATTTAAAAGGTTTTCATAGTTCAGATGATAAATTGGCTGAAACGCACATGGCCAAACCAGTTTTAACAGAAAATAACTTACTTTAGCCAGAAATCACAAAAGAATACAAATAGTTAATATTTACTTTCAAAGTCTGAAATTCCAACTCGGGCAGCAAGCCATCATTTCATAAGCACAAAATATTACAGTTTGAGATTACTTGATCTAATGTCACTCAATAATCACTTTAATAGTAAAAATCAATAGCAAATATCATACTTACCTTTTGTAGCAAATCTCATGAATAACTTATTTCCTTTAGCAAGTTTATTAGCTGGACGAAGATCGTTTCTTAGCAGAGACTCTTCTTCTACCTGAGATAATGTTTCCAACTAAGAAAAAAGAGCATTTCAATATAAAAAATTAAAGCCATTTTCACTTTTATTCAGTAGCAAAGTTACCGTTGATTAAGAAAGCATTCTGCCTTTAATAACATTCTCAATATTACAGCACCAGTTCTAAGTCAGAGGTCTTCCCTGACCACTTTGTCAAACAATGGTTTCCATCACTCTCTATCCACTTACCCTTCTTAACTCTCCTCATGGCAATTATCACTGCCTGACATTATATTATATACCTGTATATCTGTATTCTCTGTCTTCTCCACTAGAATGTAGGTTCCAAGAGAGCAAACACTTTGCTTGGCTTAAGGCTATATAATGCATATTTTTATATGAATACACTTTAATTTTTCCAACAGTAGTACATAATCTGTTAGGAAATATGCCATTTCTTGCTTTTTCCTAATTTTACTTATTAGGTAACACTTCAAAGTATTTCTTAACAAAATCATTTTCTCTTATAGAAGCGTGAGTACTATTCTAAGATCTCAAGATGAATCATTCATTAGTCACACAAACTTAAAAACCAAGGGTCTGGCCCTAACTGGTTTGGCTCAGTGGATAGAGCATCAGCCTGCCGACTGAAAGGTCCCAGGTTCGATTCTAGTCAAGGGCATGTACCTTGGTTGCGGGCACATCCCCAGTAGGGGGTGTGCAGGAGGCAGCTGATCGATGTTTCTCTCCCATCGATGTTTCTAACTCTCTATCCCTCTCCCTTCCTCTCTGTAAAAAATCAATAAAATATATTTTTTAAAAAACAAACAAAAAAACCCCCAAGGGTATGGTGCACCCTCAGGAAGTCTAATGGTGAGAGCCAGAGGAAGAACGCAACTTACTAAGTCTTTAAGCCTTAAATAAAAACATAGCAAGCAGTTTTTTATATGTATCTTTTCCCTATTACTAACCTCTACATCACTTGAGTTTTCATCTTCAACTTCTCCTTCTTCAGCTTCATCATCTGAACTGTCTTCCTGCTTGTCTAAAATTAAATGTGAGGGACAAGATGAACTTTAACATAACCCCATCTCATATCATTTAAAAGTTCGATTATTTTCTCCATCTATTTACTAATGATCTAAAACATCAAAGCCTATTTCAGAAGTAACTTGTGATGAGATACTATGTAACACTTTGCACAGAAACCCAAACCAACTGAGTAAATATAGGACATTCAGCCCAAAAGTCCCTCCTGTGTGTTCAGTTACCTTTTTTGCTTTTCTCAGATGACTTGTCCTCATTGGCATCCCTGCTTCTTATCTTATCCAGGTCTGGCAGAGAGCTCATATTGATAAGGGCTCGTGTGGCTGTCATTTCATCCAGCCAAACCACATTACCTAAAATAAAATGTAAAATAAAACATTATATCACATCCAAATGGTTGTTTCCTAAGAGCAGAAACTGCATCATATTCATTGTTAAACCTCATCTAGGTACAGATTGAGAGCAATAAATATACAAACCAATGAATGAAAAGAATAGGAAGTAGTAGTAAAACTTCTTTGATGAAATTGACCTTGACCTGCATTCCCCAACCGTGTTCCACAAAATAATGATCAAAGATTCCACAAAAAAGTGTTTATATAATAAAACTGCCTGGCACACAGTGCTATGTGTTAGTTCTTGATGAGGATGATGATGATAATTATCAAATAAATGTGGATTGTCCTCTATACCACTGCCCCTCCAGGGAAGCCCTATGCTCTTCCTTATCATCCAGATATGCTTTTAAATGATGTCCACCCACTGATGATGGTACCATCACGGATATATACAATGGAGACATAACAGACACTTGGCTTTGTAGCAACTAATTGAATTTGCTGTATTTATATCTCAGAGTTGAGGTCTAAGAGTCTCACCTTTGTTACGACAGGCCATGTGGCCTTGGGCAATTTCCCTTCTCTGTTTCTCAGTTTCTTGGTTTCTGATGCACAATATGAGGTAGCTGAACTGGATAATTCTAAGGGTCCCTCCAACTGCAATATCCCTTACCTAGTTTTAATGACTTAGAGCAGTGGTTAGCAAACTAAAACCTGCAGGTCAAATCCAGCCCATCATCTGTCATTTATTTGTTTATATTTGTACCTGATTTATTTAGGTATAATTAATGTAAAATAAACTACACATCCACTGCCTGTTTTTTTGTTTTTTTTTTAATATATTTTATTGATATTTTACAGAGAGGAAGGGAGAGAGATAGAGAGTTAGAAACATCGATGAGAGAGAAGCATCGATCAGCTGCCTCCTGCACATCTCCTACTGGGGATGTGCCCGCAACCCAGGTACATGCCCTTGACCGGAATCGAACCTGGGACCCTTCAGTCCGCAGGCCGACGCTCTATCCACTGAGCCAAACCGGTTTTGGCTCCACTGCCTGTTTTTATAAAATAAAGTTCTATAGAAAATAGCCAGGCTCATTCAACTACATACTGTCGATGGCTGCTTTCATGCTATTTAGAGCAGAGCTGAATAAATGACAGAGACGATATGATCTGCAAAGCCTAAAACATTTACAGCCCAGCCCTTTATAAAAAAGGTTTGGCAACCCTGATTTGGAAAATGTAAGTTAAGGAAAAAGAAAACAGGAGAAAAATAGTTTACTCTGTCATGTTTCTTCTTATTTCAATGAAAATGTTGAATCAATATCTTTTAAAGAAAGCAGCCAGAAAAACCAGGCTGCTATACAGGCATAACCTGGTAGGCCAGCAAGCTAGCAGTAAGTGAAGCCAGACTAGAAGTGAGTCAAGACAAGAAGCCAGTAATGTGGTCACCAGAATTAGAACAGACTTGGAGTGGGGAGGCAAGGTAAAAATTACAGTTGGCTCACAAGTTAAACAACTCACAGGTTAGTGCAAGCAGGTGAAATTCCAGAAAACATAGTCCAAAGCAAGCAGAGATGAGAAGTCTGGTAAAGGGCAGGGATTCTGATATAGTTCTAGGTTAGAGACACTGAGGCAGAGCCAGCCCCTGGATAATCCATTGTATGGCAAGTTGCAATGACAAAGTCTAAAGCCCTGAAAACGCAGCCCTCAGCTCAAGTCTACAGAGCGGGATCCACCCCTTTGTTGGGAAATTGTGGGAGTTAAAGAGGCCTTAATTGTGTACACTGGGCTCAGATGCCAGCAACCAGCTTTATAAGCCCTGGTCTGACTTAAATACTCACGGGGTATAATTTGGTAGACTGGTTAATGTATCTGGTTCTCATCAACGGGGATTTTTTTTCTCTTCTACGCTAAGGGCAGAAGTTAGGCACAGACAAGTAGTCTGGGCCATAATTATTCACCATCTGAGGTGGCAAGAACAATTTCAAAATCATAAGCAAAAACATATTCAACAGAAAACTTGGTATACTTACAGGAGGTATCATCCAACCATTCAATGTGAGCTGGAGGGTATTCTTTAAAATAGGAAAAGATATCCTGGGTACTCATCTCATCCACTCCGCAAATGTAGATTGTCTCCAGTCTCACTTTGGGGATTGCTAAAAACACAGGACACAGAAAAGATGATAGAATTTTCCCACCCACTATTGCACATTCCACCCTATTACACAGTTCAGGTAACATGTGTTTAGAAAACAAATATGCTGAAAGAGATGACATTTATTTTAAAAGAAAATGATAGATGACAGCAAGGTACACTATTTTGCTTTTTTATCACAGACCAAACAGCATTAAATCAATTATTTAATTCAGAACAGGCTTTTGGCTGAAAAAGATTAAACAATTAATGTTGATAAAATACACAATACCTCTCCCCAAATTAACCTGCAATAATTAAAAGCAATACCAAATTCAATAGGCTTTTTCATTAAACTAGGCAAGCTGATTCTAAAATCTATATATATAAAAAAGCCTAAGCAACCGGCAGACCGGCCGGCCGACCATCCAGTCGCTATGACACGTACTGACCACCAGGGGGCAGGCGCTCAACGCAGGAGCTGCCAAGCTGTAGTGACTTGGCAGCAGAGGTTCTCAAACGACACACCCCGAAACCAGAGAGGAGGGAGCCCAATTCCTCACGGCACTGCACGATTTCACCTTCAGCCGTGGGTTATGTTGTTGCTGGGGCACTGTCGGGCCTGAACGCAAACTTGCGTTTGCGTTCCACACCCTGTACGACAGCAACTTTGCAGAGTGCCCTCTCACACTCCGGGACCCCTCGGGGGATGTCAGAGCAGGTTTCGGCCATCCCTGCAGGCCAGGCCAAGAGACCCCACCTGCCAGAGGGACCCTGCTCACTCCACAGACACCAGGGAGGGACCACGAGAGGTTGGCTCCAGGGCGTGTCCAGCCCATCTCACCCAGTCCCGCCCTGCCAGCCACCTTCTAATTAATTTCCTTTCAATGTGCACGAATCCATGCACAGGGTCACCAGTTTTTAAATATTTATCAAAGAAAAATATGAAACAGTTCAGCCATTTCTGAAAAAGAAGAGATGCTGCCCCTGGATATAAAGCAAAGAAGGAAAGTAGAGTAAGGACATCCTACAAATACTGAGAAAATGACAGCTTAAAATAAAAACAGGCAAAGAACATGAGTAGACAATTCACACAACAGGAAATACAATAAATATATGAAAAGATGGCTGACCTCACAATCAGAAACACACATACAAAAACAAGATGCCACTTTTCAATTACTAGAATTTTTTTAAATTTATGTATTTTACTATCAATTGTTGGTAGTGTGGAGAAAAGAGCCCCTCCCTCTGCTGGTGGGATTGTGGCGTGGCACAGCCACTCTGAAGGACAAACTGGAAGTGTCTATTATAAATGTAATTTGGCACGTCCCCTTTAGGCAGTTACTCCTCATGTGGGTTCACACAGTAGCTCACACAAAGATGTTCGTTTTGTCATTTTGAAGAGTAAAAGGTTTAAGGGGAGCCCATGTAGGTGCGTCCAGACTACCTGGTAAATCAGGTGATAGCTTCCTGCCACCCAGATAATGAAGATGGAGATACCATTAAGACCTATGACTCTCAGGAAATCCTTATTAGTGACGAGAGGTGCAACAGTGAACAAAGGCCCAAATGAGACAGGTGTTCACAATGGACATCCAGGTGGGGATGAAGGAGTCAGACCAGGAGCCTTTTCAGTTCCTGGAGCTACAAGCCATGAGTGTGGATGAAAAAGGTCCCATGGGAAGTAGGGAGGGAACAAACAACAGGGAGAGCTCCTGGAGACGGCAGAGAAAACGGACCAGGGAAAATACCTGTGGAAGACTTGTTGGCCTGATAACAGGGTTTAATCATAAATAAGACAAGCAATAAATAAATAAATACCAAGAGCATCACAGCACTGTTCTAACATTATAATGCTTTTATTAAAAAAAAAAAATCAACAACACAACCCTGCAGAAATAGCTTAAAAACAAACGATGGTAAGGAATAAAACTTCTGGCCTCAGACTCTTTATTTAAAATTTTTTTAAATTGATATTTTGAGAGAGAGGAAGGGAGAGGAAGAGAGAGATAGAAACATCAATGATGAGAGAGAATCGTTGATCGGCTGCCTCCTACACGCCCCCCACTAGGGATCGAGCCTGCAACCGGGCATGTGCCCTGACTGGGAATCGAACTGTGACCTCCTGGTTCATAGGGTGATGCTCAACCACTGAGCCATGCTGGCTGGGCTTTATTTTAATGTACAGAGGATGGTATACACATCTAGAAATGGGCAATGAACAGTCCTGTTCAAAAGAAGAAGGTATAGATACAAAAGCCATTATCACTACAAAGACAAACGTTTCAATGAGCTGGAAGAAAAGTTCATTCTCAAAAGAGAACCAAACCGACTGTGGCAAGGCCCACTAGAGATGGAAACCTTGTTAAGCTCAAAATTTGATGGAAGATTGCCAAAGGAGAATGCTCAATGCTTCCTCACCTTGCTGACAATGTCGCTGCTTAAAATAAAACAAAGCAGGAGCCTACATTTGTGCCCAATCAATGAGGAAGGGCTAACTGCTGAGATGGCAGTGAACAGATGGATGAGGGAATGAGAACTGGCCATTTACTGAGTGCTGACTACCAGCAAAGTGGTGAGGGCAGCATCCTGCTTTTTTTTTTAACAGGAAAGAAAACAATGAAAGACAGGGAATAGGAAAGTAGACTTCTGAAAATCCAGAGAAAAAGAATCCAATCCCATGGCCTCACACTGGAATGTTGAAAAAATTTATAAGACATTAAATATAGTTACTCAGAATATGAGAGGTGATTCCCAGGAAAGAGAAGGCAGCAAAGCTTGGGTGAGAACAATCTGCCAAATAGCACATATGGGAGACAGACAAAGGGTAAATTACTAAAGACAAAGGTAGAAGAATAAATGTAAGAACCTAAAAGACTAGCATCAGGCTATACAATGACATGGAAATGCAAATGGCAGATTGTCAAGTGAAAAGGAAAAACAAAAATAAAATCTGCATACAGAAAAGATTAGAAGGAAATACACAAAATGCTGACAATGACTGGGTTTGGTGATAGATTGTGGGCAACTTTTCTTCTTACTCTCCTTTCCAAGTTTTCTTTGGTGAACATGAGTTGTTTATGAAACATCTCATGAAGAAAAGGGTACAGTTCAGAGTATATAAGCTCATCAAAAATGCTGATGGCTTTTCTTTTTTTTCGTACACCAAAAAGTTACAGGTTTGATCCCCAGTCAGGGCACATACCTACACTGCAGGTTTGCAGGGTTGCTTCCCAGTTGGGGCACATACAAGAGGCAGCTGATCGATGTGATATCTCTCTCTCTTTCTCTCCCCAACCCCTTCCTCTCTCTCTAAAATCATTAAAACATATCCCCAGGTGAAAATTAAATATATATATATATATTAAGTATAATATATATTTAATAAAATATATATGTTAAATATAATATATATAAATTATATATATTTTAATTTAAAGTAATGTCATTCTCTGGAATTTTTAAAAAGTAGCTGATCAAACAATCTACAATCCCTTAAGAAACCAAGTCTCGCCCTAGCCGGTTTGACTCAGTGGACAGAGTGTCGGCCTGTGGACTGAAGGGATGCAGGTTCGATTCTGGTCAAGGACATGTGCCTTGGTTGCAGGCTCGATCCCTGTCCCTGGTCAGGGTGTGTACGGGAGGCAACCAATCGATGTGTGTCTCTCATAACGATGTTTCTCTCTATCTGTCTCTCCCCCTGCCTTTCACTCTCACTAAAAAAATCACTAGAAAATATCCTCAGGTGAAGAGTTACAAAGCAAACAAAAAATGAAACCAAGTCTCGCCCATTGGAAATGACGGGAGCTCTCTAAGAAGCAAGCCACACAAACCTCTTTTCTTTTTTTGGCAGCATTACCCCACACCAAGAAATTCAAGTTCTATCCCGAGACCATTAAGGCATGTAATCTAGTTCCTCATGACAATAAAATGAAATGTGGACCTGATAATAAACTAAGGCTTACAATTCATGGATCTATGTTTCATGGCATGATATGGGATTATCCTGATCAACATTTACCGACAACTGGGTAAAGATGCAGAGGCCTGCATACCAAAGTGAGGAATATAGCTAAAATGCTAAAAGGTACAGTTAAGATGAAAATGAACTCGACAGACTGAAATGGAGTCTTGAAATTAATAATTTGGTAAAGATAAATAAGAAAGTAATTTTTAAACAGTGCCTCAAGTACAAGACAAAAGACAAGACTGCTTTGATGGGGAGAATTCCTAGGGAAAAGACCTGGGTACTTCGGTTGACTGGAAGGTGAGTACACTATGAAATGGTAAGATAGAAATCATGGTGTAACCCTGCCATACTCTACATGAATCCAACAATATCTACACCTCACTTTATGAAGGACATTTAGAGATTGAAAAGAGTGTAGAGGAGAGAGGCTAGAAAGTCAAGTCACATAAACAAAGTGTAGGAAATGGGCTTACTGCTCATTCACCTGAAGGATTATTATGTGAATGAGGAAAGAACATAATGTTGTTCTAAGGGTCACACAATAACTAATAGACAGAAATTATTAGAAAGCAATTTCTGTTCAACATGAGGAACATGTATTAACATGTATCCAAAAATTGACTGCTTCATAAATAGTTCTTCTGCCGTCACTAGGAAATGTTCAAGCAGAAGCCAGAAGACCATTGGGAACTTTGCCAAAAGGCCTGCAGTGCTGGGCAGGAGGTGACTTTTGATGACCTCCAAGGTTCCTTCCAACCACAAAGGCTTTGATCTTGGAGATAAGGAAACGAAAGCTGCTCGACCAGGGTCGCTAAGAGTAAGTAGCAAGTCACTTTTGATGCAGAATGATCAGTGCAGCACATCCCACACTCTACCTGAGAGCTGGCAGAGAGGTGAGGGACACCGGCTTCAGCCCGACCAGCCTTCAGATCCCAGCCTTGCTGCTTACCTAGCTGTGGGACCCCAGGCAAGGTTCTCAGCCTCTCAGCACCTTAGTTTCCCCACCAGTCAAACAGAAATGGTAATTCCCTTCCCTGCACAGGGCTGAGTGGCATACAGTAAGCATTTACCAAACGTATCTTTATTGCCCTTGGCATTAAGAAGAAGCAACAACTTGACACCTAATGTGGCTGCAGGAGTCAAGATGTTTATTCCAATGTTCCCATTCTCCCAAGAGGCTAGGCCACTTAGAAGACTGCTGGGAAGATGGAAAATGCCAGATAATGAAAATAACAACTAACATTTATTGAGGACTTACTATGTATCAGACATAAGGACTGTAACATTATGCTAGAACAGCGGTTCTCAACCTGTGGGTCGCGATCCCTTGGGGGGTCGAACGACCCTTTCACAGGGGTTGCCTGAGACCATGGGAAAACACATATATGATTACATATTATTTTTGTGATTAATCACTATGCTTTAATTATGTTCAATTTGTAACAATGAAATGGGGGTCACCACAACATGAGGAACTGTATCAAAGGGTCGCGGCATTAGGAAGGTTGAGAACCACTGTGCTAGAGGCTCCCAACAACCCTATGAAAACTACTGTTATCTGACTCTCCCTATGAAGAAACTGAGCTTCTTAGAGCCTAAGTAACTTCCCCAAGTCACTGAGTTAGAAAGGAACAGGTCAGGATTTAAATATAGGCACCCAGGCTTCAGAACCCACACTCTTTTCTTTAAAAAAAACAAACTGATTTTAGAAAGAGGAAGGGAAGGAGGGAAAGGGAGGGGGAGAAGGGAGAGGGGAACAGGAAGAGGAGAGAGGGGAGAAGGGAGAGGGGAGAGGGGAGAAAGAGAGAGAGAGAGAGAGAGACCTAGACATGGGAGAGACACATCGTCGATTGGTCGCCTCCCACATGAGTCCCCACCAGGACCAGGGAACCTGCAACCGAGGTACATCCCCTTGACCCGCCACTCTTCAGTCCCTGGGCCAATGCTGTAACCACGGAACAAAAAGGCCAGGGCCAGAACCCACACTCTTAATCACCATACCAGTGGTTCTCAATCTTGACTGTACATTAGAATTACCTAGGGAGATATAAAAATAACTATCGCTGGGACCTATACAAACCCCTCGCCTACCTCCCATCCTAATTTAAAATGAACTGGGATAGGCAGCAGGGTTCTCCAGAGTTCAGGAATACTACCCTAGACTATGCTGCCTTCTGGATGAAAAACAGATTAAAATGAGCAACGTGTCCCAGCTCATCCAGGCAGATCTATTGCTTTTTAGGAATATCTTTAGAACCATAAGATTAGGATTGCTTTTCAAAAAAGAAAAAAAATTTTTTTTTAATTTAACTCCAGAAATGATCCTATTTAGGTAGGTATCATATTCTCACTTTATAAACAAGGAAATTTTGACCTAAAAAGGTTTAATAACTTGTCCACATTCACAAAGGAACTGAGGAAAAGATTCCAGGAGGGCACCAGCACCAACAGAGGTAAGAAATTTGAGTGGGTGATTAGGGCTTCATGGGGAAAATGACATCTGAACAAGACAAACCATGGGACAAGGAAGGGCAAAATCAGCAGAATGAAAAGGCATGAACTGCCACAATGAACGCTCATTGGCTAGAGGGAAGTAAGCTGCAGTTATGAGAGGCTTCAGAGCTCTGCTTGGGCCCAGACTGAGCAGGCACATGAATGCCAAGCTGCACAGCTATCCTTCGCCTTCAAAGGACTTTTCCTGAAACAGAAGTCCACTCAGGTAGATGCCTGGAAACCCAGCCTGCAAGGGCAGCAAGGCCATATTTCCAACTTGAACTCATGAGGCAGAAAAAAGTATAAAGCAGGATTCAGAGTTGAGCTCTACATCCAAGCTACTCTACCCACTGGGACACACTGAGGAGATCTGGGTCTGTGCTGTCATATCACATACATGAGGCAATAGAGCAAAGCAGTTAAGAGCAAGGCTTTAGAGCAGGGGTGGGCAAACTTTTTGACTAGAGGGCCACAATGGGTTCTTAAACTGGACCGGAGGGCCGGAACAAAAGCATGGATGGAGTGTTTGTGTGAACTAATATAAATTCAAAGTAAACATCATTACATAAAAGGGTACGGTGTTTTTTTTTTTAGTTTTATTCATTTCAAACAGGCCGGATCCGGCCTGCGGGCCGTAGTTTGCCCAGGGCTGCTTTAGAGTCAGATAAAGCTAGGTCGAAATCCTGACTCCACTTTTACGAGCTGCATAACCTCAGGCATTTACTAAACTTTTCTGAGACTATTTCTACTTCTTTGTAAAACAGGAATAACACATATATTCCTCATAGGGTTGTTGTGAGAAATGAATAAGAAACGAATATGCAATATTCCAACTAATACAGTGCCGGGTAAGACAGCAAGTTCCCCCAAAATAGTAGTTATTCTTTTGTTCATTCAACATGCTTTTATCAATCAAGCAAGCCTAGAGAAACTCATACAGCAGAGCACAGACCTTTAACATGCAGAGGTCTGCCTATTAAGCCCTTCAGAAATACCCAAATTTGCAAATACAACAGAGACCTTTTGTACTCATGGATTTATTTATTTATTTTTTTAAATATATTTTATTGATTTTTTACAGAGAGGAAGGGAGAGAGAGATAGTTAGAAACATCAATGAGAGAGAAACATCGATCAGGCGCCTCCTGCACATCTCCTACTGGGGATGTGCCCGCAACCCAGGTACATGCCCTTGACCGGAATCGAACCTGGGACCCTTCAGTCCACAGGGATAGAGCCAAACTGGTTTCGGCTGTCCTCATGGATTTATATTAGCGTGGAATAATAAATATGGCTATCAATGCACTAAAAATTTTCCCTTTATTTTATAAATTGCTTCAGAAGACTGGGGCAGATTACTCTTTATAATTCAGGGTGAGTTCCAGGAAGCAAAACACTTACCCTAATAAAACAGAAAAATAAGATGAAATCACAAGCCCGCATCTAAAGAAGTACTGACAGCTTTCCCCCACAAATCCAATATTGCTCTCACTCCCCTTAAAGAGGTCTCACTGTGATATACTTCTAATACACTTATTTTATTTTTTTATCCTCATCCAAGGGTATTTTTTCCATTAATTTTTAGAGAGAGTAGAAGGGAGAGGGAGAGAGAGAGAAAAACACCAATGTGAGAGAGACACGTCGATTGGTTGCTGCCTGCATGCCCCAGACCAGGGCCGGGAGCCTGCAACCGAGGTATGTGCCCTTGACCAGAATGGAACCCGGGACCCTTCTGTCTGCAGGCCAACGCTCTAGCCACTGAGCCAAACTGGCTAGGGCTACTTCCAATACATTTAAAAACAAAGAAAAGTTAAGCTTTCTATGATAAGAGCAGGAATGGGTGAGTCCATAGAAGCATAGGTTCTAATCTCAGCTCTGCCACTAACTGGGTGACGTTCTTTGAGCCTCCTCTGATGAGACAATCTTTTTTTTTTTTTCAGCTCTAACATCTGAGACACAGCTAAACAGACCACCTCAAAAATGGAGACTTCCTTTCCTTTGGGAGTATTTGAATGAGGACTGGACATACAAGGCGAGGCCAGAAGCACCAGCCATGATAGGAAAAAGTTACTGTCTGGGAAATGTGGAAAAATTCCCCCCAAACACCCAGTACCTTTCTTCATCATGTCTCGGTCCAAGGCTATATTTCTTTGGGCAAGATCTACTTCTGATCGTAAATGGAAGCGCTTGGCTCGTTGTTCTTTCTTTTCAATTGCTTCCTAGAAGGTACAGAAAAAGCCATGTTTCAATGAATGAGAAAAGTTAGATCGCACACACAATCACAAATACAACATAATGCATCAGTGACAACCCTAAAATAAATCAGAAGAAATAAGCAACAATGTACCTTTAATAATTTTTGCAGAGAACTGGATATTCAAAGTCAATGACTGGGAGGGTGTACATTAATGCTGCTATAATTTGTAATAATCTCCATGATGATTCAATGCCTATCACTGTGTCTGAGGCAGAGTAGGAATTCAATGAATATTAGTTGATCCAGTGAGTAATAAGGAATGCTTAATTCTCTGACATTTCATTTATTAGCAGTCATGATTCAAACAAATTACAACTAAACAATCTCAAATTTCAATTTTCCAGGTGCAGAAACTGAAGCACAAAAAAGTTAAAAGATTTGCTGGAGGAACTTCAGCAGTAAGTGGGGCAGAACTTCTGATATCAGTGCTATTTCTAGGAGCCCCCCCCCCCCCCCCCCCCCCCGCCAACATCCCCATTTCACTGTCTGTGTGCATGGTAATCACACCTATCACGCTCATCCACATTATGTCTGCATGAGCAGTCCACTCCCTAAGGCTTTCTCCTGGTTTAAAAATAGCTTTGAGGCAAAGAAACTCTCTCTTTTGTAGGCTTGTGTCCATGGAATTTCCAGTTTTCATTTTTAAGTGACAAAAAGCATTGACGCTTCACTGAAAAACAAAATAATCAGCTTCGTAAGTTTTTTTTTTCCAAGAGCTAAAATAAATCCAGATCCAACTGTGAGTTTCTGATAGCTCTTGGGAACCCTTCGCTAATTACATACTGACTTTGCCACACTAATTGAAGGTCTGACTGTATAGAAAGCTTGTGGGGATTGGTAAAGCAACAACACTTCTGTTATTTCCCAACAGTTATGCTAATTTTTCCCCCTGAAATCTTCCCAGTGCAAACAGCTAATCTACCTTTCTTTAGTAACAATTTAAGTACCAATTCTGGGAGTACCACCCTTTCCCCTCGTATATTTATTTAATATAATGGCAAACTGTGTAGAATTAAGAACAGTACAGTCTACTTCTGGTTCAATTACGATAAGAAAACATCTCCACTTTATTTTCTTGTTTGTCTAAAAGATCACTTCTTTCTTTTGGCCTTTAAGTCATCTAAGACAGACTGAGTCCCAAATAAAATATAAAAATGTAAGTATGACATTTTTATTTTTTATTTTATACATCCAATATAGCAACATAGTACTATTATTCAGGATTCAAGATTCTATTCCACTCAATTGCACACATTAAAGTAGAAAGAATGCCTAAACTGGGTATCACCAATTAAAGCAACAAATATGCACTATTTATAATAAGGAAAATAATAGGTTTGGCTCTGTGAGGAATTACAGTGAAGTTGGTAATCTAGTAACAGCAATCACTAGATAAGATGATATTCCCAGGTACTGAGAATAATTCAGCTGACATGGTCTTCAAAGTTTAGATAGCCACACAGTAAGGAAATCCTATTTTTCTGGGGTTTTTTTGTTTGTTTTGTTTTTGTTTTTGTTTTTAGAGACGGAGGAAGGGAAAGAGAGAGAGAGAAAATAACATCGATGTGAGAGAGATACGTCAACTGGTTGCTTCCCGCACGCACCACAATCAGGGATCAAACCTCACAATCTAAGTATGTACCCTGACCGGGAACTGAAGCTGCGACTTTGTTGCACAGGATGATGCTCCACCAACTGAGCCACACCAGCCAGGGCAGGAAATCCTATTTTTCTAAGCCTGCAGCCAGTGAGGAATAAAAGATATTTACTAAAGGCCTACTATGTGCCAGGAACTTTTCATGTTTTGTTTCATTTAAAGTAAAAATAGTCTATCACTTTTAAAGAATGTATACAGCATAAAAAAGCATTTGCAGTGCAGAACTTTTTCTTGGATATGATTGAGCACAGGTATAGTGATTTTATCTTAACATGAACATGAGAATACACAAATACTACCTGGATGTTTCCAGAATGCACAACGGCATCATTGTGTAATATAAGATTTAAGCTAAATAAATTTTAATCCAGCAACTAAAGAAAACAGGTGGTAAAGAATAATTGCAGTTCCACTAATCCTAGGAACCAAGTTCACCCGCTTATCAAAATGAATAAATAAATCATGGTCTGTCTTACCTTGGAGGTGACATCAATTCCAGTGATGAAACTGCCAGCCTTGTTTTCATACCTTCTGCTTGTGTCCTAACAGGAGGGGAAGAGTAAGAAATGCTGACAGCAACTGACGAAAAATTCATGATAAAAACAGCTGATGCTTTTTGGATAGTCCCGCTCTTGAGCAATCCTTCCCCCACTCTGACAACCCCTTACCCTGAGGAAGCCCATCGCCGTGACTGCAGTAGCAATCACCTCTAAGGAGAAGCCATCTCCAGATTAGGGCCTGTCCAAACCTCAAACAATCCCATCTACGGGAGGTATCACGTCAATGGAACTCTACAAGCTTCTGTGAAAAGCATCCAAGATGAGGCGCAGTCCCTCATCTCCCCGACCCAGCCCGGCCCAATCCATCATGCCCGGCCGCGAGGTAAACAGAGCACACGTCTTCACCAAAATGCAGAAAATCCAGACTCGCCCAGACCGACGGAACACACAGCACAGGGCAACGAAAGGAGGGTGGGATTGGGAAACCCAGGCCCGAAAAGGCAGCTCTGACGTTCACAGGCTACGTGACACTTTACGGGTCCGGTTCCGTTGGCCTCTCTGGGCCTAGGTGTCCTCCACCGCATCTGCCCACCGTCCGGCCCTCTTGCTGCTCTCATACTTGTGCCCATCTCAGAGCCTTCTGCTGACGGCTGCCCCTACTGGGGACACTTCCTTCCAGGTCTGCACACGGCTGGCTCCCTGTGTCACTCAGGGTTTGGCTTAAACGTCCCTCTCTCAGAGGACCCCCCGGGCCATCCCACCCCATGCAGCTCCCCGCCCTGCACACCCTCCCTGCCCTCTGCCCTCGCGATGCCATGAACATGCTTTATTCCGGTCAGGGCACTGACCACGACCAGAAATCACGTGCTTACGCGTGTCCCCCAACTGGAACATACACTTCGGGAGGGCGTTTAATCGTGATCAAGTGCCCAGGACGGTGCCTGGCACCTGGTGGGGGCTGCCAGGGGTGTGACACCGAATGAGTTCCGGGAGGGCACAGACTTCACAACCACGGTGACAGTGAAACGATACAATGTGGTCAGCGGTACCGGGACACTGTTCACTACTATTACCGGGGTCACTGTCATTTCCTATCTAGAGGGACCCACTTTCACCTTTCCCCATCATTTCAGTTTAGAAGCAAGGCTTGCTGACGTGGTAACAAGTCCTTCCTTCGTCCTGGGCGAGCAAGGAGGGGCCGGAGAAGGGCCAGGCAGGCCTGGGACCGGCCCCCAGGCGCGGGCAACGGGCCACCAAGGCACAAGCAAAACGCCGCTCGCCGTCCCCGCGGTGGAAAAAGGCGGGCCAGAGCCGCTGCGCATTCGCGGATGTTTTGGTTCCATGAAAGGTCAGGTGTCGGGGCCGCGGAGCGGGGGCCCCAGAGCAGTGGGGCTGCGCGGGGGCCAGATGACCCTCGGTCACCAGATACACGAGCTCCCGCTGCTGTCAGGCCCAGCCCTCCCGGAAGACACCCCGAGCCCCGCTGACCGGCACCGGCCGCCCGCCACCCGCTGCAGGACCCGCCCGGAGCCCCGGGTGCCGCGCCGTCCGGGCCGCTCGCGGTTCGGTTCCCGCCCAGACAACCCGGCCCCTCCTCACTCACCCCGGGCACAGACGGGCTCGGAGGGGCGGGAAGCGGACGCCCTCAACCCCCTGCAGCTCCCCCGCCTCCTGCAGCCCCTCAGCACCCATTTCCGGGCGCCCGGCGTCCTTTCTCTCGCTCCCGGTCTCTCCAGCCAGGCGCCCCCGCCCCCCCGGGCGCTCGCTCCCCTCTCTCCTTCCCCCGACTCTCCCCGGGCCGGGCAGCCAGCCGCCTCCCCTTCCGGCCCGTCCAGGCGCGGGGCACTCGCTCGCCCGGCGACCTCCCCCTCGCCCCCCCGTACCGGGATCAGTTCTTTCAGCGAGCGCCGCACCGGCACCATCTCCAGCTCGCCCTCCTCCACCTCCATGGGCTCCGGCTCGCCACGCTCCAAACCGGACTCCGCCTCAGGCGACGGGAGCCCCAGGGCCGGCCCCGCCGAGGCCTCCGCCTTCACCGACACTCGCAGGCCCCGTACGGCCGCCATCGCCGCCCGCCGGCCGCACCACTGAGAGCCCGCCCCGCACACCCGACGGCTAGAGCGCCGCCGCCACTGCCACCGAGCAGCCGTCTCCGCTGCCTAGAGCGTCGCCCGCGTCGCTAGAAGGCCCCCTGCAGCGCCGCGCCCCCTGGTGTCGGGAGGAACCCGGCGGGCTGCAGCAGGACCTGGGAAGGAGGAGGCGGGACCAATGGGGACGAGGGTGGGGCCTGTTGGAGGGGGCGGGGCATGGAAAAAATCGGTGTAGTCTGTATTTAGAAAATGCTTTAAACCTGTAATAAAAGCTAGCTTTACTGTGGTCATTATGTGCCAGTGACTATTTCAAGTGCTTCACTCCTACAACAGCCCTATTAAGTAGGTACTGTTATTTCCATTTCACATGGGAAAAACTAAGGCACACAAATTTACCCAAAGTGATAGCCGATATCCTATCCTATGTAATAAAGGGCTAATATGCAAATCGACTAAGGACTGGTCGCTATGGCATGCACTGACCACCAGGGGGCAGATGCTCAATGCAGGAGCTGCCCTCTGGTGGTCAGTGCACTCCCACAGGGGGAGCCCTGCTCAGCCAGAAGCAAGGCTCACGGCTGGTGAGTGCAGCAACAGTGGTGGGAGCCTTTCCTGCCTCTGTGGCAGCACTAAGGATGTCTGACTGTTGGCTTAGGCCCGCTCCCCGCAGTCGGACATCCCCCGAGGGCTCCCGGACTGTGAGAGGGTGCAGGCCAGGCTGAGGGAACCCCCTGAGTGCACGAATGTCATGCACCAGGCCTCTAGTGTAAGGGATAAAACCTGAATCTGAGCCTAGGCAATCAGGCTCCAGAGGTCTTTTGGTCTATGACCTCTGAGCAATCTGTAGGTTTACAGTGGACTTGCCTTGCCAACCTATGTCTCTTTCAAGTCTCCCAATAATTGACCCATTTTACATACACAAAAATGGAGGCTCCAAGAGCATAGTGAGCTGCCCAAAGGCCAGAGCTTTCCTGACTCCCGAGGGCCCCAAACCATGGTTTCTGGCATGTTCTAAAAAGAGCCAGGGGGGAGGGAAGGGGTGTCTTTAGGCTCCCAGAGGGCTCCACTGGTCAGTTTTCGCTTTGAGTCCTGACTTTGCACCTTACACCCTATGTTACCTTGGGCTAGTCTGGCCCCTTTCTGGGCCTGTCTTCCCATCTCAGGAGGGTGTAGATGGGGCCCCAGGGTCTCAGAGGCCCTACCAGCTCTGACCATGGAGGAACAGGCAACTATAAACCAAGGGAGAACATGACCAGCATCGGACACACCTGCGTTTCAGGGGGCAGAGTCTGCCCCTTTTACCACGTGTGATCTTGGGCAAGCTGCTTAACCACCAGAGCCTCCGTGCCCTCAGCAGTCGTGTGGGACATGTTACCCACCCCCAAAGGAGGTTGTGGAGATTAAATAAGTGTAGCCACCAGTTCACAGTGGAACTTGACTTAGGTCTCTAAGTTGGTTGGCCATCGGTGACTTTGATGAGACCAAGGTGCATGAAGGGGAAGGTAGCTTAGAGATGGAATTTGAGGAAGTGTGGACAACTCTCTTAGAAATTTGTGACGATGGAGGCTAGGGGACAACGAGGGTACTGAGGGTCTTCTAAAAGATTGGCTGAAATTGGCCACTCCCTCTCCTTTCTCTCACCCTCTCCCTTCCAGGGAGGAGGGGAATACATGATGGAATCCTACCTCTCCTGGGATAACACAGGGGAAAATCATTAAAAGGTAACATAAGCTCCTATGGTGAAATCAAATGCTACCGGCGGGTTGGTAACACGGGCCACTGGCCTGAGGGGGTGTCCTGCTGACTCAAGCAGAAGGACTCTTTGATGCAATTTTAAAGTGGACACCCACAAACCCACACCCCCAGTTCATGTCCCTGGACTACTTGCAGGTCGGTAGTTAAGGAAACGTTTCTACAGTTAAAGAAAAGGCAGCTGACCCTGACGCAGGAGGAGCACCTACGCTCTGCGCAACCCTACACAGCGAATGATTGAAAGGACTGCCCCCCTCATTTTCTCCGTGTGACCTGACCACTCAGCATCATCGACACTGATGGCCACTCCCGGGTTCTTGAAACCACACACACTCCTGATATGGTCGCACGGGGTTTCCCTTTCACCTCCCAGGTGGCCCCTGCTCCAGTGCGTTTTCAGGTTCTTCCTCTCCCCCCTACATTAACAGTCCCCCAGGGCTCAATCCTGGGTCCTCTTTCTTCTGACCCAGGCACACTCCCTAGGCCAGGGGTGGGCAACCCCTGGCACACGTGCCAAACATGGCACGCCAGTAACTTCTGCTGGCACGCGAAACCCTCTCTTATAATCTTCCATTCACAGTTTTTTTCTTAATATCGACTTTCTTATTTTTCAGATAAATTCAGTGTAGGTGCATCTTAGATAAATAAATAATTTTACATAACAAGTTATCTTAAAGACCATAGACATGGATTGACGAGAGAGGGGAAGAGCAATTTCTATGCCTCTGCCTTAACTCTCCCTGCCTTCCTAGATCCGACCAGTGTTTTGGTTTCATCCACATACGCTTGTGAATCTTTGTTCTCAGTGATGAATTTTGTTAAGTCTCATAATAGGAGTAGCCTGACGGATGAAAACAGTAGCTCGTGCATATCTCTGAAGGTCACGAAATATAAACTTGATGTAAAATCTCAGTCATCAGTGATGCAGCAGCAAAAGTCCCACTGATAATATCAAACGGAGTCATAAAGTTTTCTGTCGGACTATCAGTGTACATGTATACATTAAAAAATAAATGTATTTTTCACCATCACATACTGTGTTTTTGTTGCTCGAATGAATTTTATTATTTCTTCAAGGTTCTTCACATACATACACCTTAAGAGATATCAAGTAGGCATAACATGTTCTCAAAAAATTAGGGTTGGCACGCAGAAGAATTTTGAGTCAGAGATTTTGCTGGTTTTGGCACGCACTCACAAAAAGGTTGCTCACCCCTGCCCTAGGCCATCTCATCACACCCATGGCTTCCAGCTCCACTGCCATCCCTACCCTGAGGACCTCCAGGTCTCCATTGCCAGTTTTCCCCTCTCCCCTGAGTTCCAGTCCGTCTGTCTTAATGCCTCCTGGACATCTTTCCTGGAATGTCTCAAGGCACCTCAGACTCAACCTACCTGAGACTCAGAATCCCGCTTCCAAGCCACATCCTTTCCTATGTTCCCGACTTCCCTCATCAGCATCACAGGCAACCCAGGTGTGTAAGCCTGGAAAGCGAGGAGCCACCCTGGATCCCTTCTTCTCCCACCCCCATAGCCAGGCCACTCATAATTCTTGTCTGGCCCCCCACATCTCTCTCATGTCCACCTGCTCCTCTCCATCCTCTCAGCTGCCACCCCTCAGCTTCTTTCCATCCCAGCCACCATCATGCCCCCTCTTGTCTGGACACTGCAGCGGCCTCCTCACTGGTTTCTCTGTTTCTCTCATTCCTCCACCCCCATCCCTCCCCTACCCACTGTAGCCAGAGGGGTCTCTTCAGCACATTATCCAGCCCTGCCCTCCTCTCCAGCTTCATTTTGCCCTACTCTCCTCCTCACTCCCAGCATCACCGCTTCAGTTCTTGGAAAGCACTATGTCCCTGCTAACCACAGGGCCTTTGCACAAGCTGATCTCTCTACTTGGAGTTTTTTTTCCTCCCCCTTGGACTAGCTAGTTCTTCCTCAGCCTCAGATCTCAGCTGGAGCTTCCCTTTCTCTGGAAAGCCCCCCTAACTATTCTCAGAGAGCCACCACCACAGGCCTTTCCTATAGAGTTGCTCATCTCAGTTCCAAATCGTCCACACATGTGCATGGCCATTTGGTTAATGTCTGACTCCTGTGATGGACTGTGAGCGCCATGAGAGCAGGAACAGTGTTGCAGTGGTTCTCAACCTTCCTAATGCCGTGACCCTTTAATACAGTTCCTCATGTTGTGGTGACCCCCCAACCATAAAATTATTTTCGTTGCTACTTCATAACTGTAATTTTGCTACTGTTATGAATCGTCATGTAAATATCAGATATGCAGGATGTATTTAAAGGGGTCGCGACCCACAGGTTGAGAACCACTGGTTTAGTGTCTCGGTGCCTGGTTACAGAAGGCCCTGGGCAAATATTAAAAGGATGGATGGATGATGGATGGATAGATAGATGGGTGGATGGAGTACATATCAAAAGGAAATGAGACCTTTTCCCACATTTGATTTAGAAACAGGCACCAGATTTCTCCTCACCACCATCACCACCCTTACCAAATTCTAGGCCAGAGCTAATCATGTCAACTATCACTGCTCATTACAATCACCAACCTATAGGCCCTGAATCAAGACTGGTGGTTTTTTCGTAGCTGTTGGTTTCAAACAGGAGCCAAGAGCAATGTCTTCCTGTGGTTTGTTGGCCATTCAGGACCCAGTGGGAATGGCCAATTCAATTGGAAGAAACATAGTCAAAAAAAAAAAAAAAATCACCAACCTAGTGCACATACTCGCAGCGGGCAGGTACATAAGTCCTGGAGATCTAATACACAGTACGGCGATTATAAACAACAAAACTATTATAAACATCGAACTGGCTTAGAGACTAGATATTTTTTAAAAAATATTTTTTTATTGATTTCAGAGAGAAAGGGAGAGGGAGAGAGAGAGAAACATCAATGATGAGAGAAAATCATTGGTTGGCTGCCTCCTGCACACCCCTTTCTGGGGATGTGCCCTTGACCGGAATAGAACCTGGGACCCTTCATTCTGCAGGCTGATGCTCTATCCACTGAGTCAAACCTGCTAGGGCATGAGACTAGATAGTAAGTGTTCCTATCACTAAAAATTATCATTATGTAACAAGACAGAGGTGTTGGGTGTTAGCTAATGTGACAGTGGCGATCATATTGCAATATATAAATGTATCAAGTCATACACCTTAAATTTATACAATGTTATATGTTAACTAGAGGCCCAGTGCACAAAAAATTTGTGCACTCGGGGGTCGGGGGTGGTCCCTCAGGCTAGCCTGCGCCCTCTTCCAGTCTGGGAGCCCTCGGGGGATGTCCACCTGCTGGCTTAGGCCCGCTCCCCGGGGGATCGGGCCTAAGCTGGCAGTCAGACATCCCTCTGGCAGCCTGGGAGCCCTCGAGGGATGTCCAACTAATGGCTTAGGCCTGGTCCTCTGCGCTGGCCAGCCATGAGCTGACTTCTGGCTGAGCAGCACTCCCCCTGTGGAAGGTGGCAGCTCCTGCGTTGAGAGTCTGCCTCCTGGTGGTCAGTGCACATCATAGCGACCAGTCGTTCCCGGTTATTCGGCCGTTAGGGTCAATTTGCATATTTCCCTTTTATTATATAGAAATATATCTCAATTGTAAAAATTTTTAAAATCACCTAGGAAGCTGAGGGGATTACCTGCTGTATAATTCTAACTATATGACATCCTGGAAGAGGCAAAACTACAGAGATGGTAAAAAGATCAGAGATTGCCAGAGGATGGGGGTGGGATGGGGAGTGAGGGGTGGGAGGGAGGGAGGGATGAGCAGGTAGAGCACAGGGGATTCTTAGGGCAGTGAAACGATTCTTTGGGAGATACTGTAATGGGAGATACACAGCATTACACATTTGTCACACCTAGAATATACAACACAAAGAATGAACCCTAAAATAAACTGTGGCTTTAGTTAATAAGAATGTATCAGTGTCTGTTCATCAGTTGTAACAAAGTGCCACACTAATGGGAAACTGGGGAGCAGGAGAGAGGGTGGAGGGATTATATGGTAAGCATCTGTACTTTCCACTCATTTTTTCTATAAACCTAAAGCTGTTTCAAAAAAATAAAGTCTATTAATTTTAAAAAAATCCAGACACCCAGACTACATTTCAGACCAATTGAATCAGGGTGGGGCCTAGGAGTCAGGAATTTTTAAAAAAACACTTTTACTGATTTTAGAGAGAGAGAGGAAGGGAAAGGGGAGAGAAACATTGATCCATATGCACCCAGACTGGGGACCCAACCCACAACCTAAGCATGTGCCCTGACTGGGAATTAAACCAGCAACCTTTCGGTGCACAGGATGCTCCCAACCCACTGAGCCACACCGGCCAGGGAAGCATCAGGACTTTTTAAAAGCTCCCTAGGGCCTAGGCGACACTAGCAGGTAGCCAGGTTGATAACTACTGTTTAGGCTGAATTGGGAGGGGCAGACCACAGCGGGGAGCCCTCTCTCAGCTTTGGGGTGGGTTCCCCAAGGAGGTGGGTGGGTGTTGGCACAGATTGCCTGAAAGCAGGAGAGGAGTGTGCCTGAAGGCAGGGGGTCCTCTCCTGGGAAAGCTCTGGCACCTTGAGGCTGGTGCCCTGGACTCTGGGAGGCCAAGCCTGGAGCTTAACCAGCCCCTTCCTGTGTTCCGGTCCCGCATTGTTCTGGTTCCATTTCTTCAGCACAGACCAAAGAACGGCTGGGGTCAAAGGGCACGCAATGTAGAGAGCATCGGCCAGTCGCATGAGCGGCGGCTAGAGCAAACAGTGACCAGTCCTGCTGGAGATGGGACAGGGAGCTGGGCAGTAACAGGGGACACAGAGGCAGTGCCGAGAGCATCTGAGAGAGAAGGCAGGAGGGCTGCCTCCTGCACGCCCGGGAGTGTGGGGCAGAGGTCGTTGGAAAACCGAGGCGGTGGAAATCTGGGCCCGGCCGAGGAGCAGTAACAGAGGACCGGAAAGGGCCAGAGACGTGCAGGCCCGGGAAGGAGCTCACAAGGGATCCGGTGGGGAGAGTGGGGTTCCCAGAGGGAAGGCCCCCTTCTTGTGGTTTTGCTGAGAGATGCTCTTTGATGGCCTTCATTGTGATGGAGCCGTGAGTGGGCAGACAGAAGCTGTGCACGTTCTAATTCCTGGCCCCGATTCCAGTCTTGTAGGAGGTGGACCAGACGCCGGACCACGTGCCCAGGGTGCCTCTGGGGCTGTGGACCAGGGAAGACTATCTGGAGGAGGTGGGGAAGGCGGGCAGAGGGACTACAAAGCCACATGGGCCAATGACAAATTGGTCAGCCCAACCTGCATGGGGACTGATAGCTGCCCTGGGGGGCGAGCCAGGACCCAGACTTTATTTCCCGAGTCATCCTAGCTGGAGAAACACTGTCTGAGACCCCGGAGGGCAGAGCCAGGTCTGCATGTGTATGGGGGAGGCGACCAGGAGCAGGAAAGGGTCACTTAAGCTGTGGATGCCCAGGCCAGCAGGAGGCTGGAGTGGTGCAGGGAGTCCTTGCAGGCCAGGGACTGTCCTGTAGGTGAGACCAAAGGCAGGCCCCTTCACTGGCTCTCCAGGGCCTCAGTTGGCCCCTCAAGCCCAGGCCTGCTCATTTGCCCGAGGAGAGGCTGTGTAGGTGTGCCAGCCTGTGTGTGTGGAGGGAGGGAGGGTGGGGAGTGTGGGAGGGGAGGGATGCCTCCGTAACCTGTGGGTGTTTATATGGGGCCCAGTATGGGTCAGAGTGTCCCCTTGGGAAAATCGGAACCCTCGGTGGCCCTGACCGACCCTCTCACCTCTCCCCCAGGCTGAGACCTCATAGGATCATAGTGGGTGGGGGAGCAGAGAGCAGGCAAAGGGCCTGTGGGGTCTTCCAGAGAGAGCAGCGGGGCTGCTGGCAGGGGCCTCGGAGGCCGGGCTGAGCCCTGTTGGGAGCACAGGTTTCTGAGGGCTGGGTGTGCTCCGGTGAGACCAGGATCGCCTGGCAGCTGGAGAGCTGAGGACCATGGCCAGGAGACCGTGAGGAAGTGAGAGGTGGTGGGTCCCAGGTTGAGGGGCTCAGTGTTGGGGAGCAAGTGGGTGCAAGAACCCACTCATGGGTTCTGGTGATTGGGGAGTTTCTGCCTCGCCGCCAGCACCCCTGCTGGAGAGACTTTCCCAGGATGCCCAGGGAGCGGGCAGCAGCAGCTCTGGCCTCCATCTCTCAGATGGGAAAGCCGGTCGCCATGCCAGGCAGCCTCTGGCGTGGTCTCCCCCTGTTTGGTCTCCAGTGTCATCCAGCTGGAGCTCCACCGATGGGCAAACTCGCGGCCTGTGCCGAACCCGCGGCCCCTGAGGCTGGTTCCGGGCAGCCCCAGGGCGGGACGTCCTTTGTCTTCCCTCGCTGAGTGCCAACTCTGTGCCAAGCACTGTGGCAGACGCTTGGCACAGGGCTTGGTTTAACCTCAAAGAACCCTGAGGAGGTGCTATGATCCGCATTCGATCGATAAGGAAACTGAGACTCCTCCAACGACTTGCCGAGGTCACACGACGATTAAATGGCAAAGCTGGATCCAAGTTCAAGGCTGTCTGACCTCAACGATGACTCTTTTCATCGTGGCCATGGGGGCCCTAGGATCAGCAGGAAGCTGTGGCGTCCAAAAACCCCGGGCCAGTGCCCAAGGCTAAGGGGGCACAGGGAGGACATGGGACCCACGTCACAGGGCTCCTGTAAGGCTCCACTGGGACTCCTGCCACACGGGGAGTAGACAGCCCTGAGGACCAGACCCCGGCGTCCCTGGGCCCCTGTGAAACAGGCCGGGGGCCCCATGAGCAGCCCACTGGCTCCCCAACACCCTGTTGTTCCAAGCAGGAGCCACAGGACTTGCTCAGCAGCCTGAGCCAACCCTCCTCCCTCCCTCTCCTCCTTCCCCCCAGAGCCCCTCCCACCACGGTCCTGCTTAGACCTTCCCAGAAATGCAAGCACAGCCAGCTGGCGAGAAAACACACCCAGAAGCACAGAATATACACACAACGTGCTGTTGTTTTAACTCAAGAAAGGGCTTTTAATGTTTTTAACTCACTTCCTGAGAAGTTAATTTTTAAAACACTCTTATGGAGTTTATTCATCACTTGTGCTACGTTTGAAAACGATGCCAACCCAAACCCACGGCGGCGGGGTCAGCGCGCCATCCAGGCTGTGACCTGGCCAACGAAGCCAGGCTCACCTTGGAGCTCTGCGAGGGCAAGTCCGATGGACGTCGCCCCCTTGAGGCCCCACCCGCCAGGCCCCAGCGCAGAGATGCTCAACAAAAGCTGGCGGGTCGGTGACCGGCCTCCCACGAACTCTATGACAGTGTTCTTAAAAACAGTGCCGAACTGTTTCCTAAGCCCTGGTTACAATGGCTTAGCGGAGAGGAGCCAGGGAGAAACGTGGACCCAATGATGACGGGCCACGTGCTGCTCACAGTCTTAAATAGACATAGAAACTATATTACAGATGCATGTGCCAGTGCAAGACATGCGAGTGTGCTGTGCAGCGGATGGGCACGCACATGCGTGTGTGGGGAGGCGCGACGGACACCCACAGGCACGGAGATGCGCAGGGGGGACCCTCCTCCGGCCCGGCCTCCCTCCCTTCTCGGCACAAGTCCTCTTGTGAGATGAGGCCCATGCCCGCCACTGTACCCGCTTGTTTGGCCCACATTTTCAGGGGAGGTATCTGATGAGTCCTGCTTTGCTGTCCTTTGGAGGCCAATCTCTTGAGCATTTGGTCAGCGAACACCACGCCATCAGAGTCCCAGAGAGATGTCTGCCCCAGCCTGGCCGATCAACACACACAGTCCAGCCCTCCAGCTCGGGGCAGGCTGGATGGGGACTGGCCTGGGGCGAGGCAGTGGCGGAAGGCCTGCCGCTCCATGGCCGCCTGCCAGCATGCACGCCCCACCAAGGCCCCACTCTAGGGCGGCCTTCACCGTGGGCAGTTTGTCCTTCAGCGTAGGAATGTGAGGGCAGCTTCTGGGGCCAGAGGGGGAGGCCGGTGTAGGATTGGAGACTGGGTTCCAGTTACTTCAGCATCTGCAAGGCCACAGCCCTGTGAGTCCAGGGCTCTCAGGCCATGTCGGCCCCTAGTGCCTCTCCTGCCGCCATGGCTCTGAGGAGCCACAGAGGGAGTGATGCGGGCAGGGAAGACGTGGTGCTCCTGGCTCAGGTCTCTGCTGAGAGTTGAATTCAGCCCTTTCTCTGGCTAGTGCTGGGTGTGAAACACAATCCGGCAAGGTCAGTTCAGCTCACCTGGCTGCACGTAAGGGTGGGGTGCACTAGGAACCGCCCACAGCTTTGGAGAGGTCATGTGCTGTTCCCAAGCAGGTCTTTATAGCCCCTTGCCCCCATGTAAAAAACAAAAGTAAAAGACAACAGGACGAGAATCTGAATTCTCCAATACTGGCCCCTGCCCCAGTGAGGCCCTGGAACACCCATCAAAGACTCAGAGACTCCATACCAGTGTTCTCAGCAGACTCAAGCTCTGGCAGCGCCCCCCCAAGGTGGCAGGGTACACCCCTCCATGTGTGTGGCAGCTGAGCCCGGCCTGCCCAGCCCCGGCGGGAGGTCTCTGCAGTGGTGGTAAGCCAGGCCTCCTCCTGCCATCATGGTTTCTTGCCTCCTGCCCCTGGGCCTTGCCGACGAGCCATGTGGGGTTCCTAAGGCACCGAGCGTACCTACCTTCCCCACAATGTGGGTTCCACGGGGAGAGCCAAGACGAGGAGAAAGGCTCGAGGGAGCCCTGCCCACCAAACCCCAGATGACACACATTCCAATCCTGTCTTGGACACGCGCAGAGGTCATGCAGCATGACGGGGGGAGGGGAGCCAGGAGAGGGTCCACAGTCCCCAGCCCCCTGCCCGCAGGGGCGGCTGTCGGCATGAGTGCAGGGGCCTTTGGAGGCGCAGGATGAGCGTGTTGCTGGGTGGCCCTGGGCGCATGCAGGGGCTCAGGACGCAGCCTCGTCTTCTTGGACACCAGGGAGCTCCGGGCTCTTGATGCCTTCACCACACCCGTCTTTCCTGTTCAGGGGAACCAAGGGGCAGAGGGACCTCAGGGCTCAGAACATACACTCAGAAAGGACACTCTCCCGCACACTCACAGGCATCCCAAGCTCACCTTCCTGCGTCGTGGCTCCTTGCTGGTCTCCCTACCCCAAATCTTGGCTTACAACACTCCATGGCTCCCTACTGCCCAGAGATGAAGTCTGGAGCCTCACACGATCTGACTTGGCTGACCTCCCTGCGCCCTCGCAGGCCTTCCACGTAGGCCCAGATCAGCCTCCACAGTCCTGAGCAGAGGGGCTTTGGTTTTACATTTTCTTCGTCTTGTGCAAGTAGAGTAACCCGTCGATCTTGGGATGATGTCACACGTTCAACAGCTTCCAGTATCTGATTCCCCCCCTAAGACCTTTCTTTTTAAAATGACCAATGAATGGGTTTTGATATCTTAAAAAAGGATCAATTCCATTTAACTTGACTGTAGAGCTTCAACTATCATCCCAAAGCATACAAACTAGAGTCAATCAAGGACAAATTTAAAACCTGCGTTTCAAAATTAAACTTGAGTCACAGAATTACAGAATTTTATTATAGCTGGAGAGTATCAGGCCCAGTACTTAATAAAGGGAACTGGCCTGTCTCCCCCTTAACATGGCTATAAAAGGACAACCATTCCCTTCCTCACTTGCAGTCCAGCCCTGGGCCAGGCATAGATTAGATGGGTACAGGATGTCTTTAGCCTGTGACTGGCCTGTCCCACCACTAGGGGGCGCGGAGTCACAGGCACTGAGCTAGGGTGACCAGATGTCCAGGTTTGCTGGCATGGCTTTGACTATGCATGTAGTCCTGGCATAGTTAGTAATAGCTTCCTCTTTCACTCTCAGAAGTGGCTGCATTGGATGCTAAGTATGTGATTCCCTGCACTAAGCCCAATGCCATCACCGAGGCCTGCAGACCTAGAGGAGCCAGAGAGGCCCCTGCCCAGGCCTGGCCAACTAACTGAGGAGACAAGGGAAGGGGAAGCTCAGTGACATCGAGGCCTCTCCCAGACGCCACCCCTCGCCCCTCACTGACCAGAAAGTTTGTCAAGAGGAGGAAAAGCGGTTGGTATATGGACATCCTTGAGGGTAAGCAGCCTCTGGCAGGGAGCAGACACCAGCTTGTCCATGATGAGGGGACCCGGCACTTCTAAAGGGCCCACTCATGAGAGGGCGGCCTCACGGAGCCCTTGTCTGGGCCCCTGGACAGCACAAGTGAACAGACTCCTTCCTGAGAGGCCGAGGTACCTGGACTGTGTCTGGCACCCTCTGGGGAGCACGCCTTCCCCACACAGCAGGCTGGAGACGCAGCTCCTCCTCCCTGCAGCTCCCTTCCCCAGAGGAAGGCACCCGCGTCCCAGGGCCAAATGCGGGTCCAGGACCCTCGCCTGGCTTTCTGTCTGCAGGCCTGTGTGCAAACTCCAGCAGACCTTGTTGGCCTCCCCAACTGACTTTTATTTTATTTTAGTGGGAGAAGGTGGACAAGCTGAAGACCAGGCTCTCGGAGGTTTGCAGAACTGCTTTTCTGACTTCTAGCAGGTGGTGACCGCACACGCCTGGTTCACAGTAGGGAGCCTTCAGCAAAGGAGGATTCCCCTTCCCTGGCCCGGGCAGCTGGCCTGTCCATGCTCACTTGCTGAACGAGCGTTTACAGGGCGCTGACCAGGCACAGGGCCTCCGCAATGGCTGGAGGTGGCATGGGCCACTCAGGAAAGCAGCCAGCACTGCCCCACACCGGGAAGTCGGCAGAAGCGCCCTCCCTCCACAGCCGAGCCACCCTTCTATGAGGAGCAGACATGAGGCCTTGCTGCAAACCCTACCATGGGCTGAGGAAAGAAGTGCAAACAGGCACCTCGGAGGCCCAGCTGAGTCTCCCCCTGAGGAGACAGAAGGAAGCTAGGTAGACAGGGACTGGGACCAGGGAGGGGGAAGCAGGACCGGGGAACCCAGCTAGGCGGAGTTACTAAGACAGCCCAGCTGGGCGGGAAGGAAAGGCACATACAGGAGACAGGTATAGATGTTAGGTAGACAGGTAAGACAGGCAGCTTGCATATAACCAATCACAAGAATATTGCTAAGGCAGAAGCCTTTGAAAGAACCAATCAGGAGCTAGCAAGCATGGATACAAAAGAGCGTATACTCCTCTCCCTCGTTCTCCAGCGTGCGAGGTTCCTGGCTCCAGTGCCATAAGCCACCTGGGACTCTACACATGGGACTAATGGACTTTAATTAGCTTGGATGCTGAACTACACCCAACTGCAACATGGAACGGAAGCTCTGGACACTGGCCGGCTTTTGGAACCCCAGCTGTACCTCTTCCAGGACTGGCTTCTCTCAATAAACGTTGCTTCCACTAACCCCTTCTGTCTGCGAATCCATTCTTCAGTTTTGTGAGACAACAAACTCAACTCAAATCCCACATTTTGGTTTCTGCTCAGCCTCACGGCCCAGTGACAGTGAGAGTGGGAGGATTTGCCCCCACCCCGCCCCACCCCACCCCAGGGGGTGCCCTGCAGGTCTCAGCCCACCGGTACTTACAGCAGTAAGTTTCCTGGGACAGACATGGAGCGCTCTTCCTTCCGTGCTTGGGGCTCAAACGGGTTCCCAAAGGAACGCTTTCTCAGCATAGACTTCACCAGGATCTAGGGAGGGCAGGTCCGTCAGCATGAGGAACACAGGCCCCCAAGCACCAGGCCCACTGGCAGCCTCTGCTCGGACTCCCTGGGGGGCAGCTGCTAGGTGGGCCGTGCTGAGTGGGCAGAGAAAGGAAGAGTATTCCAGCAGGGGGAAGGATGAGGGCACAGAGGACGACGGTTGAGGGTGAATTCCGGGAATTGGCAGGAACCCGGTGCAACTGGTGCCTGGGGGGCTCAGAGGCCAGAAGGAGGCCTTGAGGGGCCTGGGATGTCCAGCTGAAAGTGGGGCTTTATCCTGAGGGCATGGGAAATGCCTCCTAGCTGAGGCGGGAAGGATGGGGTGAGGAGTGCTTGTGCCGGACAGCGCAGAGGAAGCTGTGCAGCGGCCTGAGGGACATGCCAGGAGAGAGCGCTGCACCCTGGCTCTCCGACTCCGTCCCTCCTCCTGCCACAAGGACAGCTCCAGGAAAGCCAGCAGAACAGGGGCCTCTGGTAGCATCGGGGCTGGCCCACCAGGCGGCCTTCTAAACCCCCACAGGGCCCAGCAGAGAGCTAGTCTCAGGCGACGGCCACACCCTCCTCCCAGGACCCCTCACCCTCTTACCACTGTGGTCCAGCTGGGGATGAGCTTGACGGAGTTCTTCACCTCCTCCTCGGTCACCTCCACCACGCTGCAGTGCTCCTCCTCTGAGGGAAGGGGCTCCTCCCCGTTCCTGGTCACCCACGGGTGCAGCTGTGAAGTCGGGAGGACAGGGAGGGGTCAGACACCCAGTGAGCAAAGGCCCGTGGGCATGCCACCAACAACAGCCTTGAGGGAACCCAATGCCCACCAACCCACACGTCCCGGGGCAGGGCTCTCCACAGGAGAAACTGAGGCCTATGGTTCCCCCACCTTGATGTCTGGCACCCCAATTCTCCTTTCGGGATTCTTGTCTAGCATCTTCAGGATCAGGTCCTTGAGCTCCTCGCTGACCTTTGGCCTAAAGAGAGGAAGGAAGGAGATGAGGGGAGATGGTTGATGAGGATAATTTCCTTCCCACCTCTCCCTCCCCATCCTGCCTCAGGGGTTCCCTGATTAGCACCCCAGGGCAGAGACACACCCACCCCTCACTGCTCAGACAGCAGGGGGGCACCCCCAGGGATGCCCCCTGGAATAATGCGAAAAGAGTCACTTTATAGGACACCAGACGCTGCCACTCAGCGTCTTATCCTCTCCTCCACCTGGGAGGTGGCAGGAAAGATTCTCACGTGATAGAGGGGACCGAGGCCCAGAGAGGTGAGCGGGTTAGCACATGGCTGCCCAGCAGAGTGAGGGCAGGGAGGAGGGACTCAGGGGACAGGGGACCAGGACCATCAGCCCCACATCAGCCTGGACTGTCTCTGCCCAAACTCTGGGCTTCTTTGCTACCATTCTTGGGGAGCTCATCCCTACAAGCCTGCAGAGAGGGAACCCACTCTTGGGACTGCTGGCCCTGGTGCCCTCTGCTGTCCTAGGTTCTGAATCCTGGCTGGGAGAACGCTGGCCTGGCAGGGGTCCTGCAGGAGCAGAAGGCCAGGTGACTGGCCATGGCAGGGAAGGGCGGAATCCAGATGCCTAATGCTGCAGGGCAAGGAGGCTGTGTGGTGGCAGGGCCAGGGCGGGGCCTCTCCCCGTGGGCTCTGGGAAGCCTCGCAAATAGCTGAAGATATGGTAAGATTCATTGTGCTTTATCAGGGTCAACCTGGCCTGGCTGTGGTGGCTGCACTGGATGGAGGCTGACAGCAGGGAGACCCAGGCAGGCACCCAGGTGGCAATGCAGCCAAGAGATGATAAGAGGGGCACTTTAGAGGGCTTGGGGACCAGACAGGCAGTGGGCACGGGAGAGCAGAGGTCACTGAGGAAAACCCCTAGGTTGGCTTGTGACCTGCCTTGGGCACTTTGGGCAGAGGGCAGGAGGGCCCTGAAGACTGAGGAGCCTTGGTAGCCAACATCATTATCAGAAGAACCGTGGATGAGCGGGGCGGCCTCTCTACACAGTCCCTCTGGGCTCAGAGACCTCAGTCACAAAGGGAGGGAGAGGAGGGGCTGGCTTCCAATCCCAGGCCCACTGATAACTTTCCCCCAGGACTCCATTTTTCCATCTGTGAAACGGGGCAGCACATTAGCATCTGGAAACCCCTGCCCACCTGTGGGGAGGGGGGGTAGTGGTGCCCTGGCCCCCTGGAGGCCTTCTGGAAGGAGCAGTGTGAATGTGTGACATGGTCACCCTGCCCCACTCCCAGCCTCAGAGCTCTATCTGCACAGGGACCCATCCCACTCGATGTCTCAGAGGCCCTGAGCCAGTCCCCCCTCCATCTGCTCAGGACCCTCCCAAGAACAGCACCCCCCCAGGCGGGGGTGGGGCCTTCAAAGGGCAAAAGCTCTGCTAAAGGCCCGCCTCCCTGGGGTGGGCAGGAGCCCCTGTGGCGGACTACTCACTCCTCAGGAAACACCACGTCCTCATTCTTGATCTTCCTGTGCAGGGCCAGGATGTAGTCATCGATGAACGGGCACTGGGGTCAAGAAGCAGACGAAGGATGTAGGCCCAGAGCCTTAACGCGTGCTGGAGACCGGCCCCATCTCTCTGGGACCCCGTAGTCGGGAGGAACCTCGTCTAACTCGTTCAGGGCCTGGCACTCAGCAGGTGCTCAACGAACACTGACTGACCAAATCAGTCACTGAGGAAACGGTGAGGCTGGGTGTACCCACCGGTTACAGCTGCCGGCAGGGAGGCCTCCACTCCGAGGCCTGGGATCTGGGAACATGCTCACCGAGGCTCCCTCCTGCCCCTCAGTGCGGTCACTAGAGTGGGAGCACCTGGGGACAGGGATCTCGGCCAAGTCAGTGTCGGGTGTCCCCAAGGCCCAGCCTGACCCAGAGCAGGAGTCAAAACCGACTGGTTGAATGAATGACCGACTGAGTGAATGTGTGTACGTGAATGGCATCGAGGGACAGGACGCGGCGCACTCGGCTGGAGCGGGGGCGACTCCACCACCCATACCTGCCTTCGGGGTGGCTGCTGTCCCAGGACGCCTGCACATGAATCCCCTCCCAAGGGGATAAGAGAAAAACAGAAAAAGCCTCTTTTCCCTCGGTCTTCTCTGAGAGCAGTGGCCCCTTTCAAATGTCACGCCACTTTAGCACACAGAGGAAGGGCCTGCTCCTGTCAGCCACCCTGGTTCGGCTGGGCCCGGCCCATGGCGCCAGCCCACCCAGCACTCACCTTCCCATAGACAAAGCAGTACAGCGTGACCCCCGTGGCCCACACATCCAAGGCCTAGAAAGAAAACAGCTCCCATCAGTCCCCCCAGAATGAACCAACACCCCTTGCCTGCCAGTTCCAGTGGGCTGTGGGAGAGGGCGTGCAGGGCACCTCCTTCCTCAGTCATGTAGTCACTCAGCAAACATCCCCGGCCCTGGCTCCATGCCCGACTCTGTGCTGAGCCCTGGCCCTGCCCTTAAGGGATTCCAGGTTTCTTTGGAACAGGCCCAAACTAGATACATTTTCAACTCAACAGGTGCAAACCTCTTTTACCTCTAGGTCACATGCTGTACCCATCACACAGAAGCGGCAGGAAACGATGGTGTATCGAACTTACACGCGCTAAACCAGCTCATCACCCCTCGTCCTAGCGATCCACTGGAGAAGCCACCATATACCTTCTTTCGGACCCCAGAAACAGCCCTGCCCAGGCCGAGGGCTAGCCCCTAACTCTCCCCAGCTCCCCCACGCTCTGGTTCTAGCATGCGCTCTCAGTTTCCCCTTCTGGAACGCCACCTCCTCTCCTGGTATCTGCTTTATCTCGTACGGGAGCATATTCTCAAATCTCTACCTACATATTCTCACTACAGATGCCTCATCTGAATCCAATCCAGGAACACAAACAAACGCAAACTGACATCATTCTACAAAGTAACAGGCCTGTTCTCTTCAAAATGTCAAGGTCAGGGGAGAGAGAGAGAAGCCAAGCTCTTCCAGATGAAAGGACACCGGGGATGTGACAAGTGGATTAAGCAACGGGCTCTGGATCCGGCCCTGAACCAGAAGACAGGGCTCTGAGGACAGTATCGGGACAAGTGGTGAAATCTGAACAAGGCTGATTAGATAACAGCCTTTCATCAGTGATACATTCCCTAATTTTGATCATTGTACTGAGGTTATATAAGAGGATGTCCTTGTTTTTTGTGTGTGTTTTTTAAATTCGCTGAGGTTTTTAACAATAAAGGAGGAGGAGGTCTCCAACTTAACTCTCCAATGGTTCAGGAGAATGTCATACGCTTACCCATAAACACAGGGAGAGTGGTGAAAGGTATATAGGAAAAATGTCAGTAACTGGTGAATCTGGAGATATATATATGTATATATTTTTCTTATATTTTTTTCCGTAAATTTGGAATTATATCAAAATTGAAAATTAGCCCAGTTGGCATGGCTCAGTGGATTGAGCGTCCTCCCATGCCAAGAGGTTGCTGGTTCGATTCCCAGTCAGGGCACATGCCTGGTTGCAGACTCGATCCCCAGTGGGGGGCAAGCAGGAGGCAGCTGATGGATGTTCCCCTCTCCTCTCCCTCCCTCTCCCTTCCTCTCTAAAACAAATCAATAAAAACATATTTTTTAAAAATTAAAAAAGAATCTCTATCTACACCCGACTTCTCTCTTGAACTCCACACCCACACCCCACACAGGCATCCACAGGCCTCCTTGGCAGGATGGGGGGCTGGGGGGAAGCCAGCATTCCACAGGTGAGAACAGGCATGTGCGGGGGACACGGGACTGCAGCCCCTGCTCAGAAAGCTTTGCCCACTGCCTCTCGCTCAGGAGAAAACCTGAACGTCCAGGCCTCACACTGCCCGAGCCCCACGGTGCCCCAAGCCTGTGCCCCATGTTCTCTGGGCCCCACCTCCTCCTCAAATCCTCCCCATTCTTCAAAGCCTAGTTCAAACCCTGCCATCTCCAGAAGGGCAGAGAGCTGGGCTGTCTGGGCTCTGCCTGCTCCAGAGCCCCGTCCAGAACTCAGCACAGAGCAGCTGGCAGGGGCGCCTTGGGGACATTTTGCTGGAACATGAGAGGAGGCCAAAGCTGGGGCGTTTGTCAGACTCTAGGCCAGTGATGGCGAACCTTTTGAGCTCGGCGTGTCAGCATTTTGAAAAACCCTAATTTAACTCTGGTGCCGTGTCACATATAGAAATTTTTTGATATTTGCAACCATAGTAAAACAAAGACTTATATTTTTGATATTTATTTTATATATTTAAATGCCATTTAACAAAGAAAAATCAACCCAAAAAATGAGTTTGTGTGTCACCTCTGACACGCGTGTCATAGGTTCGCCATCACTGCTCTAGGCAGAGGTAATTATGAAGGAAGGGACTGCGTTTGGTGTTCACCCCCGAGATACAGGACCCTGGCATCTTCAGCTTGGAAATGAGGCCTCACTGCAAGCTACCTCACCCCTTGCTGCGGAACCCCAACCCGGCCCAGGCGCTGGGAGCCACCTTCCCACTGAAGCTCTGGCCGGTGTCGGAGATGGCCTCGGGGGCCATGAACGCCGGGGTGCCGGCCGTGCTGGACAGCTGGGCGTCGTTCCCCTCAAACTGGTTGCTGACGCCGAAGTCGGCGATCTTCACGTGCCCGTCGTCCCCCAGGAGCAGGTTGGATGGCTTGATGTCCCTGTGGACGATCTTCTGGCAGTGCACTGCGGAGAGAGGCAGCTGGAGCGCCGGCCGGGCCCGCGGCCCAGGCCGTGGCCCAAACCTGCCCCCCAGCCAGGGAAGCCTGTCTGAAGCCAGCTGAGAAGGCGCCCACACACTCTCCTCTGAGGGGGACCCCAGAAGAGGACTCCAGGGCCCTCTGCTCTGCTCTGCAGAGAAGGCACTGAGGCCGGGCCAGGCGGTCCAGACCCAGGACTGGACTCTTAGGGGCCTTGGGACTCCAAGTCCAGTGCTCTCTCCATGGCGATCAAGGCACCTGTTGCTGAGGGGGCAGGTCAGAGGAAGCTGGGGGAGGGGAGTGCACAGGCCATCCCTGGCTCTCCCAGAGATGACGTGGGTACAGTCTGCAGGCCCACAGCCTATCAGTCTTCCCCAGGCCCTTCCCCCACCCGGACGGACAGAGATGCTCCTGCTCCTTGGACTCGGGGTGGGACTGCAGGGCAGCCTGCAGAGGCACTGCCTGAGCGCTATGGACTCTGGGCTGAAGGAGATCCAGGGAAGGGGGCATCTCAGGCCTTGGGCCTGCAGGATGCACATGGCCGACCGGGTAAAGGTCAGCCTTCGCTAGCGGGCTGGGAACTCTTCCTGCTTCTCGGGCTCAGCACTGCTGGGAAGAGACAGGCAGCTCAGGCGGGGAGAAGGCACTGACCCCGCCCCAGGGCCATGCACTGTAGGCTCCCTCCTCAGCTAACACTTTCCCCTGGACAGACAGACCCAGGATGTTGGGAAGGAGGAAAGATGGAGAGGGGAACAGGGGAGGGGAGCGGAGGAGGGGAGGAAGGCTGGGGGCCAAGGGAACGAGTGAATGCGGGTTCTATAACAACAACACCAATGGTCCTGCAGTGATGGTACCAGATGAGCAGAGTGATGTGACACACACCTATCCGCCTCAGAGGCTGTGTATTTGACCATGGAAAGTGTCTCAAGTTCTTATCTCAAACCCTGGCTTCCTCCCTGAACGCCAGGCTCGCTGTCCACATGGATATCCAGTAAACAGCTCAATCTTTCTCAAGAAGACGTCTAATCCAGAACTCCACTTCTCTGTCGGGAACCCCACCACCGTCACCGCCAAACAAACAGAACAGAAAACCCCTGCTCCTCCTCCAGTCTTTTCCTTTCTGTTAACAGCATGTCGCCCTTTGTTCAGGTCTCTCTCTCTCTCAGACCCCACAGCCAACTCATCAGCAAGTCCCACGGACCCAACTCTAAGATCTACTCCAGATCCAGCTGCTCTCACAGCTGCATCACTGAATTTGCTCCATCTGTAAGCATCAGGATGGACGCTCCCGCCAGAGCCTTCCTGGGCTGCCTCAAGTCTGCCTTCGAGGGACCAGAATCGCGAGGCAGTCCTCCATTCGCCTGCCTGTCAGCCCCTGGTGCTCACCCATCCACCCAGGAAGCCCTTCACCTTCTTTAGCTGGGTACTGATGAGGCTTTGCCCAAAAGTCAGGTGGGATTAGCTTATTTTTGTTTGTTTGTTTGTTTTGGGGGGAGTTGTTGAGGGGAAAAGAGGGTGGGAGATAGATCCTCAACCAAGAAGTAAGTCCCAGGATAGGAAAGGGGTGGAGGCTAAGCTGGTGCACCCACCAATGATCACACCAGAGTAAAAATGCCCCCTGCCTATACCTCAAAGCCCTTGCTAGGGACTTTCGGCAAAGCCTTCCTCTCTCTGTGCCTCAGTTTCCCCACATGTACAAAGAGAATATTAATCTGGGGGCATCAGAGTAGCCCAAATGCGATAAAGACAGTCCTGGTTCCTGTCACCTCTGCTGGTCTCTCATCCTGTCCTCCCAGGGCAAGAATATGCTCCTGACAAACCAAGCTAAGATCTTAGAGAAAGGGGGCCCCACTCCTGCTCCCCAAACCAGGCCAGAAGCCCAGGTGCCTGGGGGCTCTCCCCAGGACTGGTGCTGGCCACCCCACCTCCTCCCTGTCTCCTCCCACTGCCACTGCCCTAATCCAGGACTCACCATCTGTCACTTGGCTGTGGAAATAGCCTCGTCCCTAACCAGCTGGCCGCCTCTCGCCCTTCAGCCAGCCACCCGGCAGCTGCTGGACAGAGCTTTCTAAGGTGTCACCCTATCATGCCTATCAGTCTTCCCCAGTCCCTTCCCCCACCCAGACGGACAGAGATGCTCCTCAAAGCCTCCGAGCTCACAACACGACAGCATGAAGTCAGGAACGTCCTCTGCGGAGGCATTCCCGGCCCTCATGCCTCAACCAGGCTGAACTTCTTCCCATTCTCCAAGAGTCCATGCCCACCCCCTCTGTGCCTCTGCCCACCCAGTTCTCTCTGCCTGCTGTATTTCTCCCACCATCCCGCCAGCCTGGCCAACGAACTCCTACTCATCCTTCAGGACCCTGGTCCCAAGTGGCATCCTCCAGGAAGCCTCCCTCGGCCCTCAGTGCTCTGACAGCCCCGTGCCTCCCCAGCTCTGCAGGCACTGCACTGTGTCATCTGCCTGCTTGGATTCCTGTCCCTCCTACTGGGCATGAGATCCTTGTCAACTCCCTGCCCCCAGCTATCACTCATTAGGTACTCATAAGTGAGTGAATAAGTAGGAATAAAAGGACCTGGAGATAGAGGCTAAGATAACATCCTCCCTCCTGAGCTCTTGTCCCTTAGGGCCCCTCACAGTGAACCCCCACTGCCACCACCCACAGGCTCCATGACAGCACAGGCTCGGAGCGGCTGGACGTGCATCTCTTCCTTCCCAGCCCTCTTGAGGCCCTGCAGAGAGGCTGAGCGTGGCTAAGAGCTCAGCAGGGGAGAGAGCCAGACAGAACACCCAAGGCACAGAGTCACTTGATGATGAACAGGCACCAGGAAGGACCCCATTCCCCTACCAGCGGTCAGCAAACTGCGGCCCCTTGAGTGTGGCTCTTCCACAAAATACCACGTGCGGGCGTGCACGTACAGTGCGACTGAAACCTCGTGGCCACATTCAAGGGGCCAAAGAGCCGCATGTGGCTCGCGAGCCGCAGTTTGCCAACCACTGCCCTAGCCTTTTAGAGGTTTAGGCCTCGCCCCCAGGTCCATGGCCCCACCCCCAACTGAAGCTGATTGGCAGATCAGCACTGACTGACAACACAGGCTCAGAGTCTTCTCAGCCTGGGCTCTGCCCCCTCCGGTGTCTTCCACCCCTGTCCCCTGTCCCCATCCCCAGTCCCCAGTCCTAGGCGGGAGGCAGGCGGCCCCTCACTCACAGTACTCAAGGCCCAGGATGATGTCCCTCAGGTAGAGGCGAGCTTGCTCCTCCGGGAAGGGCTTGTCGCAGGGCACCTCCATGACCGGCCTGTGGAGGGAGGCGCGAGGGGTGTTCAGCTGAAGCAGGTTGAGTAGAGGCAGACAGCAGGGGAAGGGGAACGGGCGGGGACCTTCAGGCCACTTGAGACCTCCCAGGAGCCCTCTATCCTCAAATGGGTCCCCAGAACCTAAGATATTAGCTTTTTCCTCCCATATGTGATACAAATAGACACAAATATCCCTTCAGATCACTGTCATTTCAAATTAGCTTTATCTTAATTTCTGATGGGCGATAATCCTTCTTCTAAGTACTTTATTACCTATAATCAGACAGTTGTAAAGATGCCACATAGAGCCATCTTTTTCACACTGCAGGTCCAGACCCAATATAGAGCCACGAAATCAATTTAGTGGGTGACTACCCCAAGCTGAACCCTGACACTGCTGTTTTCCTAATCAAGTAGAATATATCCTGTGTAATACGGACATGCGCTGTTTTGTAAAACTTTGGTTTCAGTGAGATGCAAATGGCAATGTGAGCCATGCTGCTCCCTTTGAATGGAGGCCAAAAACATTTGCAAGGCCCTGAGCGAGCAGCTCAGTTGGTTAGCGTGTCGTCCGGATACACCAAGGTTGCAGGTTTGATCCCCGGGCAGGGCACATACGAAAATCAACCAATGAATGCATAAATAAGTGGAACAACAAATCGATGTCTCTCTCTCAAATCAGTAAATTACAAAACACACACATTTGAAAGCCCCCGAGTCTGAAAGGGACACCGCGGCCTGTCTCCTCCCCAATTGGTCTTTAGGAGCCCCCCAGCAGAGAGACAGGTTATAGCCTGGATTCAAGGACTCAGCAATTAGGGCTTCCAGTCCGCCCAGGCCCATGGCCCTGTTCCGTGTCTGCTGCTTTGCAAACATCCTGAGACGGCCAAAGAAGGCAGACGTGAGTTAGATCCCTGGGTTTCGTCAGTGACTTGCTGTGTGGTGCTGGGCAAGCCACTTACCCGCTCTGAACCTCAGCTTCCCCTCTTGTAAACGGGAGTGAATGGAGTCCCACCCACCCAACTCACAAACTTAACAAGCCGCAGGAACGGTTTGCAATTTGAATACGGGTAAGAGAGGTAAGAGTTGAGTCCCTGCTCTACACTTTTGCTTGAGAAACACTCCGTTCTACTCCTCTTCCATCAAAATCTTCTTTCCAGTTCCTCCAGGCCTGGTTCAAAACCCACCCCTCTTCCAGAGGCCTCCCTGACTACACTACTCCGGCCTCACTGACCTCTTTCAAAGGATTGTCCTCTTGGTCTCTCATCCCCGCCCCCAGCTCAGAGCTTCCCAAAGCAGGGCCTGGGCCTCTGCCTTCTCCCAGAGCAGCTGACCCTAGGACTAGGGACACAGGAAGGGAAAGGAAGGCCTGGGTGAGCCTTGACCTGCCTGATCGGAATGGGGAACTCACCCCTTTCTCAGGAGGTCAAACACTGAAAGAAAAGAAAAGAAAAGAAGGTAAGGTGCAGCCAGGCTGGCAGAGCAGGTGATGCCAAGGCCCCTCCCTGCTCTGGAGGGTGAAGGAGGGGGCAGGCAACCAGGCATCCTTGAGGGAGGGACAGGACAGGGGTCCCACGGTATCAGAGGAGGTAAATGGGTAAGAGTGGGGTCTACTATGGACCTGCCTCATCTGATACAGCGCGGACCCCTTTCATGGGGCAAGGGTGGGGTAACTGAGGCCCAGAAGGGGCAGAAATTTTCCTAAAGGTCATAACAGATAGGCAGGTAGGAGAGGGAGTGGAGCCTAAGCCTTGGCCTCTCATTTGTAAGCCAGTGTTCATTCCTTCTGCCCCTTTTCCTGTGGCCTCCAGAGCCCAACCATGAATCAGGCACCGGGAATTTAATTTAAGAACAACATTAGCATTCACAGTGAGTATGTCCTCTCCCATGTAATGACTCATTCACTCCTCACATCAACCCCATGTGGCAGATACCATTATTACCCCCATTTTACAGGTGAGGAAACTGAGGCACAGAGCTATCAGACAGGGTCTGGGAACCCACATCAGGGAGCCTGCTTCTTGTGTCTACTCGGCCCATTCTCTCTCTGATCAGCAGAGTGGGCACTTGGAAATATCTGTTGGACTCTAACTGGATATTCTGAGCCTGCTTCAGCAGGGCTGGGCAAGGGGACCCAGGGCCAGAGAGTGTGTTTCCTCCCTGGCCCCCTGAAGGCCATTGTATCCCCGAGGAGCCCTTGGACCGACCCCAGGTAAGCTGCTTGGAGAATGAGTTGGGTCACTCACCCAAATAGAGATTGTCCTCAGCTGGGTCATCCAGGACCTGGTCAGAGGGAGCAGACATGGGGGTAGGGCTTGAGGAGGCCTGGGGTGGAAGTGCCAAGCTTCCTTGTCCCCCCAGCCCCAGGGCCCCCGGTATACCGACAGATGAGGCCTCAGGAACCACCGGCGCTCACCCTCAGGGAGACGTCGAGAACACCCCAGACCAGCCTGAACTGACCCCTGAAGCCTCCCTGCGTCCCTGTCCCAAGTCTGGCTGTGTCCCTGGAGGCCTTGGCCACACGTGTCTCTCGGCAGGACCCCTGGGTCTGTGCTCTCCACGACCCGGGCACAGGTACCCGCCCGCTCACCACCGCCTCCTACCTCGATCAGCTTCACCACATTCACGTGGTCCAGCTTCTTCAGGATGGCGATCTCCTGGTACACCCGGTCCAGGGGCAGCAGCTGCTTGGCTGGTCCTCCCTGGGCAGCCTGGGACCCTCTCGGGGGAGGGCGACCTGTGGCCAGGAAGAGGAGACAAGCCCGTTGCAGGAGTTTGGGCCCCCCTGTCGCCTCACAACCAGCCTCAAGCAAAAACTTGCAAGACCATGGTCTTGTCGCCCACCCGCCAAGCATATGCCCACCACCAGACCTTTGCTCATGCTGTCCCTCCTCCACTCCCAGTCCTACCAAAAACTAGCTAGGGGGCTGAGGTCTCCTTCTCCTCTGTCTCCCCCACTGCCCCCCTGCGCACCCCCCAACTCACGCCCCAGCTAGGGGCCCCCAAGCACAGGGCCCAATAGATACATACGTGGAAAGCCATACTGCTTCAGTAACTTCTTTTTGGAAAGGACTTTCATTGCCTAAGGAGGGAGGGGCAGGCATGTCACTTGTGTGCGGCCACCAGGGGGCAGTACAGGCCGGTCACAGGTGGCACCTGCCATGCCACTAAGGGTGTGGCTGGGAGTAGTTAAGCTGGGTGAGGAGGTGGCCACATCTGAGTCTAGTAGGCCTTACCCCTCTTCTCCAAAGTGCCTTTCTGGAGCTCTGCCCTCAGAGGTATCAGCCTCTGATTGCGTATTACCAGGGTCAAGAAGGTCACTTCCTTTGCATACCCCTAGGGACAGGGAGTTCCCTCCCTTCAGAGACAGGGTCGGCCTCTGTCTTCCCAGCACAGCATCTGCCCACCCCCCAGGTTTCCAGGGCCGGGCTTGGGCAACACCTCCCTCCTATCCCTGGACTCACATAGTGCCTGTCTTCACTTTCATTGTAGGCCAGCCTCACCACGCCGTAGGCACCCTGCGAACAGGCACAGGTCAGCCCCGCCCAGGCAGACACCCTCCCCCAGGGCTGGTTCAGGCCAAGGGGAGCCTGAACAGCTCTGGCCCCCTCCTCCTGCATCCCATCTCCACTCCCACCACCCATGGGCTTAAATTTCAGGCCTGCCTTGGTAACTGCCCCTGCCTGGCTCAGTGCAGCTCCATGCCTCCCCCTGTCCCTCCTAGTCTTCCATCAAAACGCTGGGGAGCCCTGGCCAGTGTGGCTCAGTGGGTTGAGCATCATCTCATGTTCCGAGAGGTCGCCAGTTTGATTCCCGATCAGGGCATATGCCCAGGTTATGGGCTCAATCCCGGGGGGCGGGAGGGGGGGCGGGGAGGTGGGCATGCAGGAGGCAGCCAATCAATGTTTTTTTCTCTCTCTCCCTCTCTTTCTAAAAAAATCAATAAAAACATATTTTAAAAAAACCCCACAACTCTGGGGAGACAGGAATCAGGACTCATCTCCCATTAGCCCCACCCACACCAGTCATTTCCTACAGGAGACAAAATTTTCCTCACTCCCAGGCCTGGGCCTTCCTGTCTCTGCCTCACATTCCCAGAGGAGAAGGGGCTGCACCAAGCAGAGCATCCTGACAGCCTGCCTTCAAAATCCCAAACTAAATTCCCGCTGCTCCTGGCCAGCCCCAGTCCTACCTTGCCAATCTCACTCTGCAGCTTGTACTGGTTCAACTGCACACAGTCCTGGCGGGGAGAGGAAGCATCAGGTAAAGCTTGATCCAGAGGCAGCATTGTTCTCACCTCAGGATCCTGTTCAGGGATCAATCCGGGCCCCAGACCCCTTACTCCCAGACCCCAGGGTGTTTCAGCAACCTTTCAAGTTGGGGTGAGGGAAACTTGGTGGTGATAAGACCACCAAGAGTGACAAGAAGCTTCATGAATGGGGAGCATGGCTAAGGAAAAATGCACTAATTCCTGCCTGGAAGCTGAGGTCTGGGAGACCCAAGTCTGTAAGAAGGCCATGAGCAAGCATTTCCAGAGGCGCTGGATATGAGGTCTAGATTGCACGAACAAGGATGAGAAGAGGGACGAGAGACCGGAGCCCTCGCTCAGGCATAAAAGGCTCAGCCTCTGAAGGCTATAGATTGCTCCGTACTCAGGTTCACATTCAGACCTAAGCGGCAAGGACAGAGCCAGGGGAGCCCGGAGGCTGGCAGCATGCTGGCAGCTTATGAGTCAGAGTAGACTGGAGGAGGCAGGATTCGAGGTGGGGTTCAAGCTGGGGAAGTCTTGGGGTGGGAGGACACTGTGTCTGGCCTCAAATCTCTAAGAGGACTTCTTGGGGGACAAGGGCAGGTTTACTTCCAAAGTCTGGACTGGGTGGTGTTGGGAATGGTGGGATGTATAGGATGCAGAGGTCGGGTCAGGTGGAGCTTCCCTGGGTGGGAAGAGGCCTTATTGTGAGGTAGTGAGCTCCCCAACTCTGAGAGTATGCAAACCAAAAGCTACAACAGGGATAGGAATAGAAAGGGTCTTCACTGAGGACTACTGAGAAGCTCATGGGCACCCCCTAGCTCTGCCCCACCAACCTCTGCATCTGAGATGGCCACGCGGTGGGACTCGATGGTGGGCCTCCGCCAGGCCCGGGGAGAGATGTGGCTGGCAGGCCCCGTGGTGTAAGGCCCAGCCTGGGCCTCCAGGCAGCTTCCTGCTGGCCGCTCCTGCAGGGACAGCTTCCTGGTGGAGAGGCTGGGTCGGGGTAGGGGGAGTCCTGAAGCACTTCCGGGGATCATGGAGGCAGCTCTGGCCCGTGGTGGGGGTTCCACGCCGTTCCTGGCAGGCCCCGGGCCACCATCTGCCTCCTCCAAGCGGGCCACATCGATGGCTGCCACTCGCTCCACCAGCTCTGCCCGGGGATCCTGGCAGCAGACCGCTGGGCCCCCCTCCATTGCCACGGTCAAGGGGGTCCTCCGTGCAGCCTTATTGGGAACCTGAGAAATGAGGGCAGAAAAAGCTTCAATTCTGGCCATGGAGCAAGGAGGTCAGATTTCTAGGCCCTTCTCCCATTATGGCCACAACCCTATGAGTCCCACCCTCCATGCCTCTGTCCTGCCCATTCCCTCTGCCTGGGTTGCCAGTAGCCAATCTTGGACCCGTCCCTACTAACTGGAGGATTTCCAGGAACTCATCTGGCTCTGCTGCACACCAGCCCTCTAGGCCTCAGTATTCCCATCTGTAAAACAGGCACATTCATGTCTGCCTTGCTGGCTACACAGGGAAGTAGGGAGAATCTGATGATCTGGAGTCAGAACAGACAGACACGGGCAGAACACGGGAGGCCCAGGAGCGTTGGGAGAAACAGAGTACAGGGTCAGCTGAGGCCGGCATCCAGCAGACAGCCCAGTGACTCACCAGCCTCACCCCTCGACAGTAGACAGTGGAGCATTCCAGAGCTGCTGCCTGGAAGCTGAGCTGGGCGCTGGTAATGCAGAGGCCTCCCTGGTGCTCCAGGCCCATGCACCTCCTGCACCTCCTCCTCCGGGGAGGCCTCTTTGATATTCCAGCCCCTCGCTCCCACCCCTCTCACTGCTTCCAGGAAGACTTCCCCGGGGCTCCGGCCTCTCTCCTTTCCTGCAGGGAGGCCTCTCCAGGGCCACAGGGCAAGTCTCCCATTACTCCCGTCTCTGGCCCAGCAGAGCCTGCAGCCCAGGACAGGGTCCATCAGGGCAGGGGCTGCTGTCTGGGGGCTGTCCAGAGACTTCTTATTTTTCCAGTGTATTTGTGTGGCCACAGTGTATGCCACATCTGTTAAGGCTGAGATGCTCCCCCCCGGCCTGGCCTCACACCCTCCCTGCCCCTACTGCAGTCTGAGCCCCAACCCAGGCCAGAGGCCAAGAACTTGAACCCCGAATCTACCTCCAACCTCCAGCCCTAGCCCTTACCCTTGCCCACAGTCCTGGGCTGAAGCTGGACCCCAAGCTGAATGCCGACACTCAGGCTGGGGCTCCATTTCCTCCTCGGGCCAAGCACTGGCCCCACCCCAGCTCAATGCCCCACCCCCTTCCTGGGCCAAACTAGGCATCTTCTCAAGAAAAGGAAGTGAGTGACCCCTGACCCTCTGCCCTTCCTTTCTGGTGGTAACTTCCTCTGACCCAGTAGAGCAACTGGAGAACACGGTCTGTTTCACCCCCTCATTCCGTCACCTTGCTTTGACAGCTGTCAAGGAGGCAGGGCTCACTGGAGTCCTCTGGCCACAGAGGAGCCCGGGGTGGCTTCCAGTCCCACCAGCCAAGCTCCTGTGGGGCCGTGGGCAGGCTCCTTCCTGACTCAGAGCCTCAGTCTCCCCATCTGTACGAGGGATGCAAGACCTTCCCTCCCCAGATTCCCTAGGGCCATAGCAAGGCTTGGAAAAGGATCGTGGGTGAGGGGGCATTCCAGGCCCCTGTGCCTGGCACCCAGTGTTGGATGAGTGGAAGCCTGGAAGTGGTGGAGCTGCTGTTGACATGCAGAAAGGAAGGGGGAAGGGAATCCAGACTGGTAACAGGCAAAGAGAGGAGGCTGCACCTGGAAGAGTGAGAGTGTGTGTGCGTGTGTGGAGGGGGTGGGGGGCGGGTGGCGTTGGTGGGGCTAGAGGCCCAGGTTTCCCTGGAGGAGATGAGAAAGGAGAAGAGCTGGCGCATCAGAGAGGCTCCCTGGAAGAGCTGAGAAGGAACAAGTGAGTAGGTTGGAACACGAGAGGCCTTCCTGGAGGAAGTGAAAGGGGGCAGTGAATGGGGTTAAAGTACCAGGGAGGCTTTGGGAACCAGGCCCCTTGCAGGAGGGAAGAAGCCAAAGTTGAAGGGAGCCCTCCAAGCCGGGCCCACCCATGACCCTCCTTCCGGTTGGTGGCCCACCCTGGAGCCTGCTGCCTGTCCCCCTCACCTTACAGGCCCCTTTTCTCCCACCAGAATATAAACTCCGTACATTAAGGCTCTTGTCTGCCTTGTCTCCATAAAATCATCAGTGTCTGCAGCAGTGCCTGGCACAGAGTAGGAGCTTGGTAAGTATTTGTTGAATGAATGAATGGTTGCCATAGTGATCATTACAGCCCTATCCCCATTAGACCGATGGGAAAACAGCCTCAGAGAAGGGACCCCAACAAGCCTAAGGCCCCAGCCCAGTAGAGAATGAATCAGCGCCCTCTGGACCAGGGCAGGCACCACGGGACAGTGCCCCCACCCACAGAGGGTAAAGGTGGCCCTAGCCCATAACATTTGCATGATTTTCCTGAGGAAGGCTGTTACCAGAGCCCATCCTGCTTTATTTCCCTTTCCCTTTTCTCAGAGGGGGAAAGAGGCCCAGCCAAGGGCAGGGATGGCCCTGGGGTCACACAGCAAGTCAGGGCAGAGCCTTTTTGCTTCTTACAGAGCCTGGGGCCTGGACCTGGTTTAGGCTCTGCACCTTCCTGGCCGCAAGCCCACAGGCAGGTGACTGCACCGTGCGCCTGGGTTTTCCTCGCCTGCAGAATGGGGGGACTGGCCTCTCGGCTCCCGGAGCCGGTGGTGGTGAGGAGTAAAGGAGTGAACGCCCATGCCGGGCTCAGAACTGGGCCTGCCAGGAAGGAAGCCCCGTAAAAGTGAGTTGTTGTGCTGCTGCTGCTGTTGTGATTGCCTGGCACACGCTGTCGCCCAGATGGATGCGCGGGCGGCACAAGGCGGCTGTGAGGGCTGACGTCAGGCCCTCCACCCTCCCTCCCGCCTGGATCCAATTCAGGTGACTAAGCACGTCTGTGCAGGAGGAGGCCCGGGAGGCCCCAGGCTCCTGCCTCGTGTCCAGGCGACAGGGCCTGGCGCCCCAGACTGTGCATGTGAGGGCATGTGTCCACACGCGAGACAATGTGTACAAGCAGAGCTGTGGGCCTGGGGTGACAGCATGTGTCTGTGTGTCTGTGGGGGTGGGGGGGCCCACATAGGCACACATCTGCGTGGAGACAGAAATCTATCAGTGCGGTCCACATGGGTGTGTAAGTGTGATCACGTGCACTGTGGGGCCGTGGGAACCTGAACACCGGTCAAGTTTGAACTTCCCACACCGTCACCTGTTCACCATCCTGAGGCTGCCTGCGGGGCTGGGCTGTGGGTCTTGGGCAGGCCCCAGGTCTCTCTGGGGCTCCCCTAAGGGATCTCTCCAGGCCTACCCCAACCTTAGGCCCTCATAGATGCTCTGTAGCAACTGATTCAGCAGATAACTAGGGACCACATGGGCAAAGAGGCAGACAGAGTGTCTGGGAGCCAGGCCCAGGTCAGAGCAAGGACTCCTCTGGGCAGGCAGGGCCTCCCAGGTCCAGCTCAGGCCTGCAGCTGAGAATGGTCAGACGATGGCCTTCACGCACTGGGAAAAGCTACCCCAATGCTGTCCTCACAGGCTGGGGCTGTGCTGTCCTAAACAAGCCATTGAGTGTGTGAGAGCCTCAGTTTCCTCATATGCGAATCGGATGGGTGGCTACCATCCTGCCAACGCCCAGAGCTATAGAAGGAAGTGGACAAGGCTGGAAAACGAAGCCGTTTGTGCCCGGGCAATGTGGGACTGGGATGTGTTGTCAGGAAGCCACCAAGCAAGAGCCTGGATGTACATAGTAGGACCCCTTATCTGTCCCCTGGCTCTGGGAAGGCCTGGCCCAGTGCCCGGAAACGCCCCCCCATCCCCCAGGTGCCTGGCTATTCCCAAGGGATGCAGACTCCGGCTCCAGATCCTGCTTGGCCAAACCTTCTCCCTAGGATGAGTCCCATCCACCGGGCCCCTGAGAGAAGGCCGGGAGCAGGACAGAGCAGGCAGCTCCTGCCCTCGTCACAGCTGGTTAAGCAGCGCCGGCTGGGCTGACTTCAGGAACAGTTCGGCCTCGGTCTGCGTCCTGGAAGGCTGTGTAGACGCCAGGGCCAGGCTGAGCAGGGACCAGCTACGATCCAGACAGAGAGCCCAGGGCCTTGGCTGGCAGAGGACCAGCCGAAGGGAAAGTTGTGAGGAGGCGGTCTCGCCGCCCGGGCCAGACACAGAAGGTGGCCCTGACATCAGAGAGGCTCCTGTGTTTATGCTCCTGACAAGTGTTTGGATGGCCCAGGCAACGGGTGCCCTTGGCGGCTCCCGTTCCCCGCCTCTGCCTGGGATGACTCATTCCCCTCGAGGGAGGCCCGGGCGTCATCTGCTGCCAAGTCATGCTTGAGGATGCCTGCTTCGAGGACACCCCCTTCCACCATCCCCGGGGATGGAGGCCCCAAGCACCAAGGTGGGCTCTGCCCGATTCTGCACAGCAACCCTCAGCGCAAACTCAGTGCACTGGGCTGATGGTGTCCAGACCTCACCCTTTACCAGGGCACCTCCTCCTCTGCAAACCAGGTCTGCGCCTCCAGTCCAGCTCTTCCCACCCAGCTGTCTCCTCCCCTCCATGTTCCTGGGCGGCTCCGACTCAGCAGGGCCCTGATTTAACTCAGCATGTCCCCCAAGTCTGCCCTTTCTCCTCTGTTCCCATCGCAGTGATGGCACCACCACCCTCCTAGTTCTCCCAGGCCAGGACCCCAGGAGCCCTCCTCATCACCCATCCCCTTCCTTCCACCCAGCCTTGCTCCCCTCATCCCCATTTACTCTCCACTCTGGCCGCACCACACCACTCACGGCTTCCTGAACGGCAGACTGGCCGCTGCTGCCAGGCCTTTGAACTAGCTGTGCCTTCTGCCGGGAGCACACCCCCCGCTCCTTTGTTGCCGGAGGACAACTCGGACATCTCCTCTGGGAGTCCTCCCTCCCGGATCTCCCCACTGCGGGGGGAGATCACCAAATTGATTCTCTCTAAAAGCCCAGACTCAGCCTCCACTCTTTTCCAACTGCTTCGGGGACACAGGTCTCCCCACTCTAGGCTCACATCCGGACCGAACCCCATCCCATCCTCCACACCAATGACTAGAGGGAACATCTCTATTATGCAAATACTAGTGGCCCGGTACACAAATTCGTTCACATTGAAGGGAAATTAATTAGAAGAAATATCTTAATATCGCTATTTGCCCTTTATAATAAAGTGTCAACCAAATTCACGACTGACAATGACAGATCGAAACACACGCATGCGATTGGTGCCAGCAAGAGCTTTATATGTATCGCACATGCGCAAGTCAACTTAGCCTTTTACAGCAGCGGTTCTCAACCTGTGGGTCGCAACCCCTTAGGCGGTCGAACGACCCTTTCACAGGGGTCGCCTAAGACCATCCTGCATATCAGATATTTACATTACAATTCATAACAGTAGCAACGAAAATAACTTTATGGTTGGGTCACAACATGAGGAACTATATTTAAAGGGCCAGAAGGTTGAGAACCACTGTTTTATAGATATAGAATAAACTTGCTTAATTAGACCTGCTTTCTGATTTAGCTAAACTTTTTCCAGCCCAGCAAAGCACCCCAACTTCTCTTTCAGGTAATTGTCAGCAACACAGCAGTAAATATCAACATGAAGCAAGATTATTGTTGTAGATCATGCAGGGAGAACAAAGGGTAAAATATTTAACTGCAGCAGTGTTTGACTATATTCTGCGCAGTGAGAAAACCTGAAGTCATTTTCAAGGTCCACCATTTCTTACTTCTTTTCAGTCGGGTCAAGTTTCTAAGCTTTCTAAATCTCCGTTTTCCGGCAAATGAAAATAGGATTCCATCGAGTCTCCTATCTACCTACTCTAGGACTTGTGTGAGGATCAAATGAGATGAGGCAGAGGAAAATACTTCACAGACATTTGGTTACGTGTAAAGGGTTTGCACCTGGTTATACAGCAAGTCGAGTTCCTGGGCTGAAGAACTGCAAGGAGGCTAGTCGTCGCTAGGGAGAGGAAGCCGGGCATTGCTACGTGGCATCATTACCCGGACAGAGGGAAGGACACTTAGCATATCAGCCTTTTATATAGATAGATGGTCACCGTTCTCCCAGACCAGGAACTTGGAATCTGGAGGACAGAAGGGCAGGAGACCTACCCTCAGACTTGGGGCTCAGAGGCTGGGGAGCAGCCGGGGACACAGACTCCTGGATACAAATCCAGAGCCATTCATTCATGCAACAAATACTCACCGAGCACCTGCTACACGTGCTGGGAAATAAAGCAGTGAGCCAACAAGATCAAGGCCCTGCTTTCATGCAGTTTAATGTCTACTGGGGGCAAGAAGAAGCAAACAAGAACGCCTGTAATTAACAGATGACATGTCAAGTACCTGCTATAGAGAAAAGCACAATGTGCAAGGGAAATCGAGTGAGGGGCTGGGGTGTGTGTGGTGAGGAAGGGCCTTTCTGATGCATTAACTGAGCAGAATCTGAAGTGAGGGATCAAGCAGTGTGGACATCTTGGAAGGGCATTTCAGGCAGAGGAACAGCAACTACACGGCCTGTGTTCTGTCTGAGGAACAGCAAGGCGGCCAATGTGGCTGCAGGGGGGTGTTCCCCAGGTGAGAGGGGCCTGACCACCATCCGAGTTACACCTGGGTGAGAAAGTCCTGCCATTCATGGTGCCTGGCCTCAGGAGGGCTTCCTGGAAGAGGTGGCGTTTAAGCTCTTTCATGAACACTGAGTAACGATTTCAGAGGGGGGTGAGGGTGGAAGTTCACATTGTCCATGACAGAGAGCCATTTCCTGGCTGGGGACTCAGGGACTGGCTTGCAGGAGGGGAAGTGGGGGACGACAGAAACCAGAAGGGCCTCAAAGGCCAGAGGAGGATTCTGGGCAGGGGAATGACTCAGTCCAGTGAGGTTCAAACTGATACCTCTGCCTGCTGTGGGATTGGGGGTGCGAGGTCAAGGAGGAGGTAGGTGTCACCAGAGTCTGTGGGCCTAGGACTGGGTCTGGCACACAGTGGGTGCACAGTCTGCATGTGCTGAATGAAGGAGTGCGGGCTGTGGGGGAAGCCGCTGCATTTTCCCTGGGATCCTCAAGGACACAAGCTGTGTGCTCCTCCCGTACTCCGTACTCCTCCGCCCACTCGGCAGATAGACAACCCCCTCTGCGCCCATCCAGGTGCAGTCCTGTGACCTGGGACATAACCTTCTCTACACACCCCTGTGCCCTCAAGACACACACGCCCTCTCCGGGAGAGGGGGATGCCAACGTCCCTGTAACCAGCCCTCACTCACCACTTATCCTTGTAATGCACCCCCCCCCCCACACACACAGAGGCACACTCGTGTCCACGTGACACACGCACACCCGCCTCCAAACACCACACACAGGTCCCCGCGCACGTGTGCGCCCTCCGAGCCACCAGTTCTGTGCCCCCAGAAGACGCAGCGCCCACGGGCACCGCCCTGCTCCATCCCCTTACACCGCGCCCTAGCCCAGGAGGACTGCGCAGCTAAGGCCACACGCCCCAACCGCCCCATTCAGCCCCCTTCCCCCTCCCCGTCCCCCAGCTCTCGAACGAAGAGTCAGGGGAGGGCCGTGTGGGAGGAGCGCTCCGCGCAGATCCACACGTGGGTGCATCCGTCCGGGCCCACCCCGCATAGACCCGGCCTCCCACCGGGAACTGGGGCGGCGGTGGGTGGTGCGCCGAGTGTGCACGCAGACCTGAGCCGGGAAGAGGACGCAGATGGCGGGGCGCCCGCGTAGATGCGGTCCCGCTGCCGGCGCAACAGAAGCAGGTTCTGGGAGACACTGCGTAGCCCCGACCGGCCCCGCAGATATAAGGGGGAGGACCCCGCAGGGTAGAGGTCCCGGCTGCCCTCCTAGACTCGGCCTCGCAGACCCCCCTCTCCCGTGCAGGCTCCCAGCAGACGTTCGGGCGTTCGACCCCTCCCGCTCCCGGATCCAGGTCCCCTGCCGGCAGACTCCTACCTCGGCGCCCGGCAACAGTCTCCGCGGCCTGGGGGGAGGCCAGGCTCGCTCCCGCGGCGCGCGCCCCACCCTGCCCGCCACGCCGGGGCCCGAGATCGCCCAGCTCAGACCGCCGGCGCCGCGGCTCCAGGCAGCGTTCGCTACCCCGCCCACCGCCGCACCGGGCCCGCGCTCATTGGTCAGACCGCGCGGCCTCCCCGGCGCCGCCCAATCAGAGCCCGGGATTCCCGCCCTGCTCCTGAAGGGGCGGGGCCTCGGCGCGCCGGCGGCTCCCGGGGGGCCTTCCCCCCTGCAGCGGAGCCGAGCCTTCGACGTCCCGGCGCCCCGAAGCAGTCTGGCCGGAGTACCCCGAGTTCTTCCAGACCGCGGCCTGGGCTTCCCATAGGGTACCGGTGCTTCCCCCAGAAAACCCTTTGTCCCCTGCAGTTTCGGCCTGGCCTGGGCAAGAGCGCCCCTCCCGGGGGCGCGGGGTGGAAGCGAGGTGCGCACTAGGGGAGGAAAAGGCGAGGTTGGCGACGAGGAATGGGTCAAGGTGGAGAGCCGGGGAGAAAGGCCTTGAATGGCAGTCCAGGGGTTCGCCATCTGCTGGGTGTGTAAGGGACACGGAAGCAGTTTCACATTGGGGAAGGGCTCTGGGCAGTCGGCAGGACTGGCTTAGCTGGGCCAGAGGGAATGGAGGGGACTCCAGCACGACCTGACCCTCAAGGCGGCTATTTCCGGGGACTCTGCCCCCAACTCTCCCCTGGCGAACTCACCAACCCTTGGCTCAGTTATGCTGTTCTCCAAATGTGAATCCTCTGGCGCCTCACCTTACCACTTGTCCAAGACACGGCCCCGTATCTCCCCCAATCCTGGCTTCTTGAGTTTCTGTTTTATTCTGGGGCCAGAAACTTGGGAGTCACTCACTGTAGGCTACTCTTTTCCCACCCAACCAGTCCATCACCAAGCCCTGCCCATGCTGCCTCTTAAGTGACCCTGGAATCCAGCCACTTCTCGCCACCTCTCTGCCCCTCCCTTAGCTCAGGCCACCATGGTTTTGCACCTGGATTGCTGCAGCGGCCTCCTCATTAGCCTCCCACCCCTACCCAGTCTTACCACCCCACCCCAGTAGCTTTTCTCCACCTGGCAGCCAGAGACCTCTCTCAGAAACACAAGTCCAACTAGTCAGCTCCTGCTTAGGAATTGTCCATGGTTCACCAGTATCCCAAGAATAGGTCCAGTCAAGCCCTCCATGACCTCAGTCCTAACCATCTGCCTAACTCGTTTCAATACCCCTCGGTCAAAAACCCTTCCCTCTGACCTCCTCACGCCCAGTGCCCAGTGTGGGTTACCAGCCCCTCCTAAGGACTTCCTTGTAACCAGCATCTGTTTACCTGCCTGTTTCCCCTCTGGACTGGGAGCTCCATGAGGGCAGGGACTGTGCCTGGTTCAGGCAGCCCTCAAAAGATGTTTGTCAAATGAATAACTACTTAGGTATGGTAATTAGGGGGAGGGGTGTGGGGTTGGAGTTCATGAAAGAGGGCTGGGCCAGCAGACAGTTTTGGAAGTTGTCGGAAAGGATCCGTAGTTGTAAGTAGAGCAATGGGAAAGGGTGAGATAACACAGAGCAAATGAAGCAGGGTCCAAGGACAGAATATTCACTTTTTAAAAAATATATTTTTATTCGTTTCAGAGAGGAAGGGAGAGGGAGATAGAAACATCAGTGATGAGAATCACTGATCGGCTGCCTCGTGCACGCCCCCTACTGGGGATCAAGACCGCAACCCAGGCATGTGCCCTTGACAGGAATCAAACCCAGGACCCTTTAGTCCGAAGGCTGACATTCTATCCACTGAGCCAAAGCAGCTAGGGCCAGAATATTCACTCTTAAGGAGGAAAGATTTCTGTACCAGTTTTGACTTAGGTAACAAAAATCCCACATAAGGACCTCAGGGAAGACAGTCCTGGGCTGGTATGTCAGATGTGCTCCACAGACTTCCAGATATGGCATTTCCACTCACTGCTCCAGCAGCCTCTGGGTATGACACTTGTCTTCGTGGCTCAGGGTGATGGCTAGAGCTCCAGCCATCACATGTACACTCCAGGCAGTGGGATGAAGACAAGGATGAAGAAGAAGAGGGTAAAGGATTTGCACCAGCTGGCTTTTCAGGAAAGTTCCCAGAAGGTGTCACTTGACACTTTCACATATATTTCACCAGCTGAAACTTAGTCACATGACCAGGCCCAGCTGCGAGAGGAGGTTGGGAAATGCAACTTTCATTCTAGGCAGCCGCATGTCCTGCTAAGAACCCAGGGCTGTATCACTATAGAGAGAATAGATATCTGGGGACAACTAGGTGGTTCCACTATTGGAAGAGAGGATAGAGCACGACTGTGTCCCAGGCTCTGTGCTAGGCACCTCCGTATCTTATCTTATCCCGGCCTGAGTAGAGGCTATTATGATCCGACACACACACAGAGGAGGCTTGGAGTGTTAAGCAACTTGCCCAAGGACACAGTGACCATGCCAGAGCTGCAGTTGAAACCTGTATTCCCCCCACACACACACACACACTCCAAGCTAAACTGGAAAATCAGGAGAGGGCAGGTCCTGGAAGCTGCTGGAAGGAAATCTTTCGATAAAGGAGACTTGGTCAACAGTATCAGAGGCAGACAGGCCGAGCAGGATACAGCTGAAGTGTCTACTTGGATTTGGCAACAAAGATGCTGCTGGTAACTTGACAAGGGCATCTGGGAGAAGTGGGGGCGGGGACTGGAGGCCACCTGCTGAGGGTGGGACAAGGGAGGTGTGAACTGGTCTTTCTGGAAAGGTAGCAGTGAAGGGGCAGGCAGAGCTGCAGGGGAACATGGGTGGGAGCGAGCAGGAGAGGGGAGCAAGTACAGGAGAGAGAGGAGAGGGCCTCTGCTGGGAGGTCTCTGGACTGGGTTGAATACAAAGTTGGAATCCTCTACGCATTTGGGAGGGAAGGGGGCAGGAGGTGCAGAAGCAGGTGGGGCTGGAGCAGGAAGAGAGGAAAGAAGAGGGAGTTCCTGGGGTTATGAAATCGGAAGCATGGTTCCTGGCTGGGGAAGAGGGCAGAAGGCCAAGGGCCTGCGAGCCCGTCCGATGTGGTAGCCACTAGCCATGTGTGGTGATTTCCATGTGTTACAAGTGGATAAAATAAAACATTCCATTCCGTGGTTGCACTGGCCACATTGTAAGTCCTCAATGGCCACATGTGGTTGGTGACTACTGTATCGGGCTGTGGTCTAGACAAAGCATGGTGATGGGGTGCCCAGAGACCCTGCGTGGTTCTAAGTTCAGACGAGTGGTCATGCCCACAGCAGAGCCCTGGAGAATCCTTCCACACTGTCTTCACTCAGGACCTTCCTCCCCTCTTTGGGGTTCCCCGGGCCTCCCTCCTGGGGCAGCCAGCCCCCTCCTCACCTCCGCTTTCCGGAGGCTCCTCATGAGGCTGGTTCTCTGCTTGTCCCAGTGCCAGGCCTCCCCTGCATGGGAGGGGTGTGTGGAGGTTGGGAAGAGCTCCAACGTTCAGGGCTGTGCCAGGACAGTGGCCCGTGGATAGAGGCGAGCTATCCCCCAGCACTGACCCTGCTGATATCAGGGCAAAGTGTCAGCTCACCGCCACCCACCGGCAGATCCAGAAGGACCTCAGAGGTCACTCAGCTCAACCCACAGTGCACGGATGGATTTCAGAGAGGCTGAGAAAAAGGTACAGAGGCAGAGGTTTGTCCTCATTCCTTTTATTGTACTCACCCCTCGCTTCCCCCAGACCTTGTGTTCGGACAGAGCTGGGCAGGCCTTGGGGGCTGGGGCTGGGCCACAGGCAGGGAGCCCCGAGTTTGGCCAAGGCTCCCACCTGGCCAGAGGTAGCTGAGTAAGGATTCATGGCTGAAGGGCTGTCCTGGCTTGACACACGTGGGAGAAGCATGTCCCACGGAGGTGACATGGTATGGACCAGGTGTCTGTGCTTGGGGGTGTGGGTGTGATCAGATGGTTGTGTTTGCAAGGCCCAAGCTGTTCAAATACACAGTGTGGGTAGAAGGGGGTGTGCATTCAGGTGAGTGTGCACATGAAGGCGCGTGCACGACACACTGTGGGGCTTGTGAGCACACCACACACCTGCTCACTACCGGCACCTGCCAGGCGCTGCAGGCCCAGGCTAAGTCTGATACCTGATCGGGAACCTTTTAATGAAGGTCCTTAAAATGGCCTGGGGAGTTTGCTCGCCTTGCAGATCCCAGTGCAGGGGGTCTGGGGTGGGCCAGGGTCCTGCATGGTTGATAAGCTCCCCCACGGAAACCCGAGCCCCTGAAAAACCGGGCTGTCCCAGAGAACTCTCTGTGGTGCTGAAATGCCCGTACTGTCTCATACGGCAGCCACCGCCCCGTGTCTCCTTGGTGGTTATAATGTGGCTGGTCTGAGGAACTGCTTTTTATTTTATTCCATTTTAATTCATTTAAATTTAAGTAGTCATGGTGGCTAGTGGGTGTCGTATGGGAGAGCACGGGCCTAGAGAGTGGGATGGGTGGACCCAGAGCGAGAAGCACGAAGCTCCAGCTGAGGAGTGTGTGAGGGCCACCCAGCACCAGTACCTCCTCCGCGCCCGGAGAGGCTGAGGCTGGGTGAGGTGCGCTTGGCGGGGTGCAGAGTTGGAGCCAAAGCTCAGAGTTGCGCAGGTCTCTCCTGGCGTCCCCCCTGAGCTGCTGGCACACTGGTGTCTTTCTGGCTGGGTGGGCAGGCAAGCCCCAGAGGAGACCCCTCTACCCTGGCTGGGACCCCTCCACCAGGGCCCCGCCCGAAGCCTCAGGCTGCGTCCAGTCAGGAGCGGGGGCTGAGGTCAGGACGTCTTCATGTTCTCCTGCAGGCCCAGGGTGGAGCTGGTGGCCGCGGGGTCCCGCTCCCGCTGTGTGAGCATTGGGGGGACACAAGTCAGCCTCAGGGGAGCGGTTGACTCCCCACCGCAGACTTAGGGGCCGAGGCCTCTGAAGGGCCTGACTCGGACGTCTCTTACCGCCTCGGGCCCCATGTCCTCCGCGTACTTGAACTTCTTCTGCTTGTAGTAGTGCCTCTTGGGCAGGATGTGGAGCAGCAGCAGGTCACAGAGAACCGTGGCCTGGGGGCAGGGAGGTGGTG